ACCGCTCTTTAATGTTTGAGTCATCAACACGCAATAACGCGTTAGGAACAGTGTCATGAATGCTCCCAATTGATGTGTATCTGTACATTCGGAAATGTATACAAGACGAAAATATGCATTAGATGAACAACAAGTAAAAAAAAAACCCTCAGGAAGAGCCTAATCAGATATATTTAGGACTATTGCTTACCCCTGGTCATAAAGGCTGCAGTACTTGACCTTGCAAGTTAAGATAAATGACCAGACGTCCCTGCCATGGAAACTTGACAAATCAGGAAAGAAAATGCACAACCAGAATCCAAAAGTAACAGACTTTATCAGCACAGCAAGTACATACCAGCAAATTAGTACTCACGTTTGTTTGCATGTCAGAATGTCAAACTAAAAGGCAAAAGAATTGAACACCATAAACAAAATCTATTGCAATTTCTAAGGCAACCACTTCTACAGCAACTTCCAAAGCAAACATGATCTAAGACAAAGTAACAATATGAAACTGATTAAGGAGTTAAAGAGACCTATATGACCAATCCAAGATAGGATTCACCCTCATGAAAGGAGGCCATCCAGGGGAACTGGGAGAGAACTGCTCCTGGCCAACCTGATAAAACAGCGAACAAATAATCACAAGCCTAAAATTTTCTGCTAAATATGCAAAATATATGGATGGAAAGTTTCGAAATTGAATTGTTATGGCTTATTGAGACACGGCACAGAATTGAAGATACCGCAGTAGGATCACCAATTCGGACACCGAGAAAAATAGCTCTGATAGGGTTAGCCTTTAGCAATGCCTCCAACCCTGATTTGAAATCTTGACGAATAATATCCAGTTGCAGATTGTAACTGCCCAGAAAGCAGAAGACAATTAGCAACCACAAAACTGTAGTAATGCCGAAATCCGAATACACTTTGATGATCTAACTAAAAAACTGTCATCCATGATGAAAGAAACAGTTAACTAGACTGAAATACATAGGAAACAGAACACAAGTTCCTTACGTTTCAGCTGTATCATAAGTGAATCCATTGATTTCAGGAAATGCAGACGGACTCTCAAAGTATATGGTCCGGACTGGGAAAAGTGAGAGACCTCCATTAGAACAACTTTGCTCTTTCTTATGCAAGAAATAGCCAGCCCTGAGAAGGTGAAGCAACACCTAAAATCACAATCAGGGTCACTATCACTCAGAATCATTTCGATACATTTTTAGAAGAAAACCGAATATTGTTTGAGCATACAGTTGAGTCCTTCCCGCCATTGAAACTAAAGGCAACCTCTTCAATCCTGCAAAAGATGAACAAGTTTGATGCTTTCGAGAGTCAGCACGGCAAATAGCATTTCAGTGACAGTGTAGACATTTGTCACGGGACAAGGCAAAAACTTTCATATGGATGTGAAATTTTTAAATACTAATTCAGTGCGTTATATAGCAAGTCCAATTCTAAACGGGGACAACAAAGTGAATCAACATTGTGTTCAGGAATCTCTACTAAACTTCCATCATAAACTCTGCAACTGCCACATGACAGAACGGATCTCTGGTGTTCTTTAAACAGGAAAACTTACAGATACAAGAATTCAACAATGTTAACTAAGCCAAGGACACGACAAAGCCATACAAGTGAGTAAAAGCAAATCACTGAAAGGGATATTAAAATGCCATACAGAAAGCTTCTCTTTGAAGAAGGAATCGGCATCCAAACGCATATATATTACTGCTGATTAACAAAATGCCCTGTTTGATGTCCTGAAGTAATTCAATTCACCTACGATTATTTAAAATCCAATTCATTAAATTAAATCCAGCAAAACTCGTAAACATTCGAAATCCGAAAATTCCAAGACTGCCGTCTCAGATAGAAACCGCGTGCAAATAAAATTTGCAGACTTTGTTTCATCGATTTTTTTTCCAGCAACCAATCTAACGGTGACGAAATTCAAAGAACAGGATTAGAGAGATCGAGAATCTATGCTTATGAACTGTATCAAAGAAAACAAGAACTCACGAGTAAAGAGACATAGCTCTTTTAATGACATAGATGGCGTTGTTATACTTTGTCTTCAACCTTTTATCGTCGCTTTCTCCGATCGCTTTGTCGATCTCCATTTTCTTTTCCTGAGATTAAGGAATCAAAATTTCGAAAGAAACCCAGAAAAACCCACAACGGCATTGCTACAGATACGCAAATTGTCGATGTATCATTGGGGACAGCAACCCTTACCTTCTCTGGACGAACTCGAACTCGAACTCTAACTCGGTAGGAAATTTTAGCGTAGGTTGCCGGAGAAAGAAGAGAAGGGGAGAAGAGGACAGGTCCTTCCTGGCTGTTGAATCTTGGGTTTTCTAAAGTTTTCAGCTTTTTTTATTGCCACAACCAACCAAAATCCAGGAATTGGAAGTACAAAACAAGAGAGAGATTTCCTTCCGAGAAAATTGTAAATGAAAACTTTTCTCGCTTTTTCCCAACTAAAAGATCTCATCCTATCTGCGGAAACAAATTTATTGAGATGAGAGATATTACTGCAAATCCCATACCCAACCCTTTTCAGGTAAAAAAACAATGTATATACAAAAAAGTATCTATATGCATTGAATCTAATTTGGTGTTGGTGTTGTAATCAGAGAATATGTCAGAGACGTTCCCTTTTTTAATTGCAAAATTTGCAGGTTCAACCACAAGAATCCCCCATTAATTTCGACACAGAATAGTTGAATTATTATTATTTTCTAATTTAACTTGATACAGTATAAGTCTTATCGGATCGCATTTTATGTGTAAAGAGGTTTTTCTGAGAAGAAAACACTTCCGTAAAGAATAAAAGGGAGAATATTCAGATAAAGGCTATCCACATCCTCAACGCTAATTGGCACTTGCCAAATCCTACCTAACCAAGTTTGGATGCCCAAAACCCCGCGAGGATGAGGACAAAACACTTCAGCCGAAAAACTCTGCTTCATCTCTATGTCACGATAGATGAACCAATCTCAGAATCGTAAAAACACGAGAACACGGATAAATGATCAGACTCGTCACAATGTTTTTTTAGAAAGATGAGAAAAGCAGTGCCGTGTGTTAATAACAGTTTCATGACATGATGCGCTGATATACCTATAGTCATCTTAACGGCATGGCAATGAAATCCAACTTCAAACCTCAAGGACTTCGGCCAGAGAGATGTCAGGTTTCTCCTCTAACCCTAAAGATTGCAACTAAATTCTGTACCGAGGATATAAAAATGGAGAGGACATCTCTGGAGATCTTAGTCGAAAAGGCCGTCCCCCAGCCAACAGTCAACCAGAAAATCCACCATTTCCTGCAATTTTTAACGGCAACAAAGGTGACTGTGGTAACTAGTAATGTCAATTCCTCCATGGATAAAAGAAAAAGGTTGAAAGCAAGGGAAGAATAAGATTCTTCACGAAAATGCACGGCACGGGCTTAGAAGTTGTCTTAGTAAAAAAAACACCCTATTTCCCATGCCTTGACATAGACCACATTCCAATATAATTGCGTGAACGATAATCTCATGAAAGGAGTATATTTTTTTAAATATGCAGGAACTTACATCTAGTGGGATGGGCTTCTGAAAGGGTGCATTGGATAAAAGCAGATCCTCGTAAGTCGCATTAAAGCTGCAAAATTTGGAATTGAAGAGTTATTTGTAGATATGGAAACTTATGCTTAATTTCATGTGTTGGGGTCTGTAAAGTTTTCTTGAATACCTTATGACAGGTTCAGCTTGTTTACTTGAAGTCCTTTTAGACGGATCCCCAACCCACTGTTTTCTCATCTCGTGCCAAGAAATCTCAGCTGCACAATGAAAGGCCGACAGCATTCAAGATTAAAAAACTGTTTTTTCCATCAGCAAATACCTGACATTAATGCTTCATAAGACAAGCAACTGTGTATAAGGAACCGTAACTCAGTGAATGAGTAAGAATTTAACCAAAGGGGGATCCAGTTCAAACTACTAGTCCCGAATTTTCATCCAGCCGCAAGGATAACCTAGTTCAAGTAGTACTTAAAGGACAATTTTTAAGGGCAACTCACCATGGTTCACAAAAATCTTCTCATCTGATTTCTCTTTGTCATTACCCGCAGAGCTTGAATCAGTAGCAGAATCAGAGTTAGGTTTAGTATTTTCCATTCTTCACTGAATGTGCACCAGCAGAGTCCAAAGAACCCTCGTAGACCCGAAGCAGAACTGTGTGCTGAAATCTCCAAGCTAGGGAGCAACAAGCTAGCGCTGGAAAACAGAACATTTGATCATCTTTACCAAAAAAATGAGACAAACACTTGTCTACACATACAAATTGTTAGACTTTACCTACAAATAAATTATTATGCATATAATAAGATTCTGGATATCTGCATTGATCTTGTGACTACCCATTACATCCGTTACTTTAGGCAAAAAAATATTTAGGAATAAAATAAAGCAGTGGCAAAATCAGAGGCAATATAGTATTAACAAAGGTACATTACGAGCTAACAATCGATTCATGAAATCGATTGTTAGCAAGGTAGATCGTAGAAAACGTTTCACTAAATTGATCAACGCAAACTCACTTCAGGCTTCAAGGGAAAAATCCCCAAGGACTCTGAAGGGGAATGTGAAACAACACAATACTCTGCATGAAATTTAGTTGAATAACTTCATTCTGACTCTTCCCCATCGATAAATTTTGCTATTGTTGAGTACAAACCCTAACCCTAAACACCACAACCAGAACAAATTTATGTAGAACTAATCGTAAATATGATCACATCAACATTGACCCAAATCGGAAGATGGAAGTCATGAAAATCCAACATACTCAACCGAAATTGATAATCGCCAATGAAAAAAAAAAGCAGAAAAATCCAACGTTCAACCCACAATCGAAAACAGAACTCGCGAAGGAGGTTAAGAAAAAACCGATGACAAAGAACAAAGGAAATGAAAGCAAAATGATAAACAATGTAGGGGACGTGTACCTTCCTGCTTCAGGGATTTGGTTCCGTTCGTCAGAAGATTGTCGACGAAGAAGAGAGAAATCGCTTGGAAAGTTCCAGAAACAATCGACGACGAAGAGAGGAAACAGAGGGGACTGATTAGCGTTGGATTCTCTTATAGACTTATACGTTAAATACAAATGATTTAATATCTTCAAAAACTGTTTCCTCGTAATTTATTATTTAATTTAATTATTCATATACATGGTAACATCGAAACTTCCATATCAAATAAAGTCATAATAAAATAAAAAAGATAACCAAAAAAAATACTATAAACAAAAATAAATTAGTTAAAATTAAAACTACAAACAGAAAAATATAATTAGGATTTTGAAGGAAAAGGAAAACAAGAAATTGCGGTGAGCGTGGATCGAACACGCGACCTTCAGATCTTCAGTCTGACGCTCTCCCAACTGAGCTATCCCCGCTTATAGAAATTCGTATAATAAAATTCAAAAAAACTATTTTCGTTTGTAGCGCGTGAAGGATCTCTTACATTACCTCTACTCAGCTCCTCGCTCTCCGTCGCCGACCCAGCATCGCCATCATCGATGTCAGGTAAATCGCTCGTACGCGCACATGTTCTTTGTTCACTGTTTCTTTCTAAAAGCTGCGATTCAATCTGATCCTCCGCGGCGTTCTGTTCTTTATGTCGGAATCAATTCAAGGAAGAGGCGGGAATCGATAGCATAATGGTCCTCGAACGCGGCTTCAATGGCTGGGAAGCTTCCGGAAAACCGCTGCCAAGATCTCCTCTGCAATGGCGTGAATGCGCATAAAACATGAAGATATAAGGATTCCTTCACACATGTTCTTGAATATGAAAACCGATTCGATCTTCATCCTAACATTGTTCAAATAAATCCTAAACCTCTTAGAACTCAAATAAATGTTTATGTATGTGTATGTGTATATATAACTATGTTTACTACACAACATTCAGTCCGTTTCAAATATTATTTAATTCGGTTTTTAATAAAATATTGAATCATGGATTAATTTTGATTTTGTCACCCGTTTACTCCGTTGGGTTACAAGGAAAATGTTTTTATATAGGTTTTATTTGTTTTTACGATTACATTACATTTAATTTGATTCAAATTGGTTCTTTTATATACATGTATATCGGTCTTATTTCTTAGTATTTCACCTTTCACCGCTAATTGGAATAATTACCGAAAATTGGTTATTTTTCACCAACCCTACCTCCTACCTTCAACAAGACCGCTTGTTTCCTCACCGTAAAATCGAATCTCTGTCGAGCTCGAGTCTATAGAGAAACGTAAACGACGACTTCAACTCCTCAGACGTTTCTCGGTTCCAGATTCTGTAATTCGAGTTCCAATATGGTGAAATTTGTTCATCCCCTCGTTCTTTTGGGTCTAGGGTTTTCTATTTCCCAGCTCTCCCTTTTGTTTTTTTTTGTCTGACTTTCGGATTTTTTTCTCCGCAGGTTTGCCTTATGTGTTTGTTGCCGTTGTTCCTCGTCCCGATAGTCAATCTATTGCCTCGGATCTTCGATTATCTCATGGTAATACCCTCGTTTGATGCCTTTGTTCTTGATTTTAGGGTTCAAGTGTGTCGTTTTCTCTGTATTCTGTGTTGTTAGTATTTGTTAAGAAGCATAAGAACATGATATGATATGATAGAGTCACCGGTAATGATGCGAAGAAGAGGGGAGGGATAGAGTTTGAAGGAGGTTAATTATAATCAGACATTGAAACTGGGGACAGGAAGAAGAAAAGGTGATAACTTTTTTATCTGGAGAATTGGAAGAAATCAGAACTAGTTTGAAGTTTTTTTTCATGTCCAACAAAATAGATGGATCTTGGAAAGATGGAGATGAAATCGAGTTTTGAATCTTAATTATGCTGATATTGCATCTGGGTTCGTGTTTTTGCTCTTCGAGTGATGGAATTTTCTAGTTTTTGTTTAAGGCCTTGTGGATTCATGTTATAATCCATGCATACTACTGATGTGGCTTTAGTAGATTCGCGATCTTCGAACTTTGTTGTTTCTTTAGGCCCTGTGGTGATGAATCTCATTCTTGGATCTTTCGTTTTCACAACTGCTTGTTCGATTCTGACTTTCTTGTTTCGGGTTTGGTGAAAAACTAGGCCAAAGTGTATGGATTTCTCGGATGGGAATACAGGAGACCCGAGAGAGCTCCTCCGGCTTGTCCATACAAACCTGCTGCTAGAAACGACAATACCACCAAAGTGAGTGAAAATAAAATCAAACCGACTTGATTTACCATGTTTGCTTTCGAAATTGCTCTCCTTTTTAGACGCTTTCTTAAACAAAACAGTTTGTGATGAACTTTGTTGAAACATATACCAGATTCGTGCATATATATATATATATAGATGCTTTTAGCTACTTCAGCCGGCCCAAGTTGTAGAGTTCTTTATGACTTGATAGGCACCTCTTTCTTCCAAAAATCTGTGTGTCCCCTTTACAAAACGGTGTTAGTATAAAGTACAATGATATATAGTATACTATTTTCGTTTCAAACTCACCCCTTCAGTTCTGAAACATACATTCCACTAATAAGCTGCAAGAGCAACGTCATGGCGCAGTTACGTTTTCGTTCGGTTATTTCTTTATATTCGCGAATTACTCGTTTTGCACGATTCTGACACCAACCCTGAATCTCTCGCTACCCTTTTCGGCAGTCGGCTGCGGAATCCGGCTCCGAAGGCACGGAGACATTACCGAAACCGGTGGCAAGAGAGGCCGAGGTGAAGCAGGAATGAACCAAGTATGTTCTTTTTTTAATGTAGATAGTGCTTTTTACACATTTAATAATCCTGAACTTGCCTGAGTTTGGTGTGAAATTGTTTTTCAAATTATCCATACTTAACGAAATTCTCTATTATTTATAAATTTACATGTGAGTTTTATGTCCATTTTTTGAGCTCTCTTTCGTGGGTTGCTTTGGTTCTTTGTTATTTGCCTCTGGGTATATATCTCTTCGCTACCGCATTCGTCTTGTAGGTTTTCTGAATCTACGAGTTCAGATCAGATCGGATTTCAATTCCTAAAACTCGAATTTTTCGGGTTTGAGATGAAGTTTCGAAAACTCATTTGATATCCGAACCGAATCTATCTGAAACTGTAACCGTATGGAAGTCGATCATCTCGTGGTGGTGAATGAACTCCCTCGAAAGTATTTTGCATATGAATATGTTATCCGTACTGTTCCAATCAAATTAGGGTGGGACTGGTTGTATTATTGCGGTTGCGATTGTAGATGACAACGTTTTCATAGTGTTTGATAGCGATTATAAACTATTAGTATTGACGGATTAATAAATTGTTGTTAACCGCGATTACTATATTAAGGACGGTTATGATTTAACCGGTGAGTTTTCAATTTGTGGGTGGTGGGACGCAACCTATCGTCTATTAGAGTGGTCAATTTGTTTAATAATCAAATTTATTCAAATCGTAAGTTTTGTTTAATAATCAAATTTATTCAAATCGTAAGTTGTGTATATAAAAATCGAAGTGGTAAAAGCAAGGTTATGAATCGAATAAAAAAATAACTATTTTTTTTTTTTTGGAAAAATGGGAAATTATCTTCGTATCGGCATCTCATGGACCGTCTCATGTTGGGGCAGTCCCTTCACTCCGAAGCCACGTGCGTACGATATCACAACGTTCACTAAAATGCGCTAAAATATTAATGTAAAGATTTAAAAAGAGAGAATCTGTATTTAAAAAAGTTATAATAAAACAAAATATGGTTATTAATAATTTCATATTTCATGCTTACATCTGTTCTGAAGCTCTCTCCTTTTTTCTCTCTTCCCATTTGTTCCCTCTTTTGTAGCTCCTCTCCTCTTCTCTCGTCCGCTCTCTTCCGGGGTTTGATCGCCGGGAAATTCTCGCCGTCCGATCTGCCGGCGATCTTTCCAGTCATTTCGATGGTCTGATTACCGCCGGCTCAGATCTATGACAACATTCCGGTACATTTCTTGCTTTTTCATCTTATTCGCGCCTTAAATATGAGGAACCTGATCCACGAGAAGCGCTGTCGGCCAGCATTTGAATCTGAATAGCTAGGGTTTCTGTTTCTTCGAGTTGCATGCTGATCCATTGAGTTCTCTGTCAGTTATCTCATCCAGCTAGGAGAACCTAGGGTTTCTATTCTGGGGGAGAGGAAAGCTAGGATTCTTGCTTCGCCGCGTCGCCATGTTTAAGAAAATAATGAAGGGAGGGCACCGGAAGCCCTCTAAATCCGAGTCTAATGATCAGTCTATGTATGGGTTTGGTCCTCCGGGTCGGTCAGGTCCAGGGTCCAATGTGGTTGTTAGCCATGCCTCTCGTGGTGCCCCGGTTCCATCCTCTCCCGGTCCTGTAGCCGCCACCCCACCACCTCCACCGATGGGCTCTGTCGAACCCCTCCCGTTGTTCAGGGATGTACCTGTTTCGGAGAGGCAACTCCTATTCATGAGGAAGCTGCAGATTTGTTCTTTCCAATTTGAGTTCACTGATACGCTGAAGAATGTGAGAGAGAAGGAGATCAAAAGGCAAACTTTATTGGAGCTCGTGGATTTTATTCAGTCTGGATCGGGTAAGATCACGGAAGCATGCCAGGAAGAGATGATAAAGATGATTTCTCTCAATGTATTCCGGTGCCTTCCTCCGGCTTCTCACGAGAATACGGGTCAAGAACCTGCAGATCCGGAGGAAGAGGAGCCCTATTTGGAACCCTCTTGGCCTCATCTGCAGCTAGTGTATGAGTTATTACTGAGATATGTTGTTTCTTCTGATACGGATACGAAGGTGGCCAAACGGTATATTGACCATTCTTTTGTGTTGAAGTTGCTTGACTTATTTGATTCTGAAGACCCGAGAGAGAGGGAGTACTTGAAAACGATTCTTCATAGGATTTATGGGAAGTTTATGGTCCACAGGCCCTTTATTAGGAAAGCAATTAACAACATATTCTATAGGTTTATTTATGAGACAGAGAGACACAGTGGGATTGGGGAGCTGTTGGAGATTCTGGGCAGTATCATAAACGGGTTTGCCTTGCCTATGAAGGAGGAGCACAAACTATTTTTGGTCAGGGCGTTGATACCGCTGCATAAGCCGAAACCCATCTCTCTGTATCATCAGCAACTATCTTACTGTATCGTGCAGTTTGTGGAAAAAGATTACAAGCTTGCGGACACAGTGATCAGAGGATTGTTAAAATATTGGCCCGTGACAAACTGCCAGAAGGAGGTTCTCTTCCTTGGAGAACTTGAAGAGGTTCTCGAGGCAACACAGCCTGTTGAGTTCCAGCGTTGCATTGTTCCTCTATTCCAACAGATTGGTCGCTGCCTCAATAGCTCTCACTTTCAGGTTAGTAATCGCTTATGTATCTATCAGTAAAGCTTTTTTCCCCTTCTCTGGTCTGGAGGTTTCATCTATGAACATCACCTCAAATTCTGTATCTTTTGCTATGGAGCTTCATCTAGCCAAGAATGGTATCATGTCATAATTTAGCTTATTCGAGGCAATGCATATACAGTGTTGCCTTCTGATTTCCTCTTATGGATATCACCTTAAAGTCACGTCCTTCTACTTGCATCCTCCTGGAAAAGAGGATGCGACTTAGGTGCTTTCCCGCTTAAGATTTAGTCATGTTTTTCTTTTTCCTGTTTGCTTCTTTCTCCCTTTATCATGCAATTTGATTTCATTCCAGAAAGATTTAGTCATCTTTGTTTGGCATTATATCAGGGAATAGCACTGTAGATTTAGAAAGGATCACTGCATGTGATATTGGCGTGTAGAGGTCTAGCTCGGTTCGCTTATCGGGAGTCAGTATCCATGTGTTTAGTTTATAACTCCTTTGGAACAAAATTTGTTACATTAGAATGAAAGGGTTTTGTAGAGCAGGATCTTGCCTCATCTAATCCAATCGAGTTATTGAGTCATTATGCCCTAACTGTGAAAAGTTGGAAACTTTTTCTTTCTACTGATCGATCCTTTTAACCACCATCTTCTCTGATCATTTGGGTAGTTAGAATTAGTGTTCCATTGGATTATTAAGATTTTGCCTTGCCTTAACTTTTCTCCTAAGCTTTTGTTTTGTCCTAAACGCCATGTGTATATTTCTTATACTTGTCCAAGAAGTTGCTAACTTGATTTTCCAAAACATTCTTGCACAATGAAGATCCCTCTATTGGTTAAGTTCCGATTCCAATATGATGCAGGTGGCGGAAAGAGCCCTGTTCTTGTGGAACAACGAGCACATAGTGAATCTCGTGGCACAGAACCAAAGGGTGATACTGTCGATAATATTCTCGGCCCTCGAGAAGAATATACGTTCGCATTGGAACCAGGCGGTGCACGGTTTAACGGTCAATGTGAAGAAGATGTTCATGGAAATGGACGGAGAGCTGTTCGAGGAATGCGAGCGGGAGTACGAAGAGAAGCAGGCTAAGTCCAAAGATGTCGAAGAAGAACGTCTTCTCAAGTGGAGGAGATTAGCTGAAGCAGCTGCCCAACGAGACTAGACATTCAATAATAATATTATGGAAAAAGAAAAGGTATTCTTTCGCCCTTTTTTTTCTTTTATTTAATCTATATAACGTTTCTGATTATTGTTATTATTATTGGTTTTCCTCGTTTCGTCTTTAATCTTGGGGGGTCTATATCATATCTTTCCAATTTCAATGGCGTCGATATTTATATATATATATTTTTTTTGTGGGGTTATTACAAATGGGTTTGTGAGATCTTTGTTGTTGTTTTTAATTTTTGGGAATTTTTAAATCGGATATTATTTGTTGTAGCTTGTATGGTACGTGTCATCTGAAATCCAAATTAGTTTATTTCTGTATATATATGTATGCTCTCACAAGATTTGAATCATCTGATAAAAGACGTGATCTCGACCGTTGATATCGTGAATCGATCTGGACCATTCGTCAATATAGGTCCAACTGCCCAAGATCAAATGAAAAGTAAAAATTATAGAACTTGACCATATTTCTATATTATTTCTAAATATCGATAATGTCTGAATTTTAAAAAAATTAAATCAATTAAATACAAATTAAATATTAGAATCAATAAAGTTGAATTTGAAAAATCCGACTTAAATTAAATTGGAACTAAATATAATCTAAACTAAAATATTCCATCTCCCCATTTGTTTAAATATGGAAGAAGAAAAAAAAAAAGATGACCGTTCAAGTGTTTTTAGAGCGTATAACTCAACAATTTCTAGATTTCAATACGAAAGAAATCTCTTCACTTTCATACACAAAGCGTTCTCTGATAGAATCTGAAATTCAGACAGTGGAAACTATAACTCTCCCGGAAAAGAAACACCGCCAAGTCTTTGCTTTCTCTTCAGTGTAATAATAACAAGAAGGTAAGTGACAAATTTACAAAGAAACCATCCGTTTGTTTTCAGATTTTACACACAAAGGAAGGCCATTACATCACATTACACAATATCAACTTCAAAGAAGATGGAGGTGGAATGGATTCAGTTGTGAGCTCAAAGATTAAACCAACAGATCAAAGATTTAAAAACTTACATATAAACTCGGGGTCGGGTCGGGTCGGGTCGGGTCACGAGTTGCAACAGCCTCCTTGTTGAGCCATGTGTTCCGGTTTCTGCTTCGATATGTTCCTCTTCACTGCATTTGATCCTTCCTCCAAAAGACTCGGTACCTCCATTATCTGTACAATATGTTTCTCCACGATCATATAATCAGATTTCAACTTCGGTTTTTATAAAAAGGGTCTTTGAGTTTTCACTAGAAAACATCTCGGGTCTTTACTGTCCTGATCATAGAATCAGAATTTGCTCGGTTTCGTAAGGGTGTTTGAGTTTTCTTACCTTCAAAGCAAGCTCTTCAAAGCATTGCTCTACGTTTTCTCGGGTTTTAGCACTGCATTCAAGGAAGAGGCACTTGAGCTCTTTAGCTAGAAAGACCCCTTCTTCTCGGCTGACTTCCCTGTCGGATTCCTGTAATCGTTGAGTGTATAAAAAGTTCATCAGAAGCTGCAATCTCGATTCAAAAGACTCGGAAGAAGAAGAAGCTGTTAACTCACTCTGTCCACCTTGTTACCAACGAGAACCTTGACACAGTCTTGGTTCGTAGAGTAAAGCTCGATTTCCTTCGCCCACACATCCGATAGGTTAATAAACGTTTCCCTTCTCGTCACATCGTAAACTGCATCACCGAGAAAGCCAGAGAGTAGAGTATGAAACGCCGGGAATAATTCCGAGACTCGGGTTTCTCATTTATGTTTTAAGTATTTCGATACGAGAATCACAAGAGGCATACCGAGAATAATTCCTTGGGCGCCTCTATAGTAAGAGCTTGTCAGTGTTCTAAACCTCTCTTGCCCAGCTGTGCAAGTAAACCACACAAGAATCACACTGAACAATGAGTTTTGTATGTAATACCTCAAAACACCTCCAATAGATTCCTTTTTTTCTGATACGAAATGACACGAACTGAGATGGATCGGGCCAAACCTGTGTCCCAGATCGTTAGTTTAAGTCGTTTTCCGGCCACTGTAAGCTGTTTGATCTTGAAATCAACACCTACAAGAATTTTCACACATCATCCATGTCAACTAGAGAAACAGAGCAAATTTCGGATCGAGACAACAAGATTTGGCCGATTAGATGCTTGCAAGATTGACTAGAATCCTGTGATCATTCGTGGAGAATGATCTATCAAGAAGAGTTATTCCATCGGGGATTAGCTAATAGCAAATTAATTGATCATCAAGACCCTGGAACCGGTATCCAATTGCCAATAATACAACAACAGCATTCACGAAATCAAACTGCAAATCCAACCCTCATTACTTCAGATGACCAGACAGGTTGCTCAAACAGAGCAAAACTCGGTTGAGACAACAAGATTTGGCCGATCAGACAGGTTGCTCAGATTGCGTCTGGACCACTGAATGAAGGGCTCCCAGACATGGTGGAGAGTACTATTTGATCGATCAATAGAAAGAAATTTCGACTTAAACCCAGAATCTCTTTTACCAGACCAGACAAAAGGTCACACGTCTGTGAATCAAAACCCTAATCTTTTGTCTGTGGCCATAGTTTTTTAGCATTAACTTCTTACGGATCCTACAGTCCAAGATCCAAACAGCAACGAAACTACAAAGCAAAATTGACCATTCATGCCCAGTATCCAGTACTCCATATCTTACTGTTTTCCCGGGAACCAAACAGAAAATAAAAATCTCAGAAATTGTAAGAAAGGAAAGACAAATCTGAGGCATGGATGTTTGCGACATTAACATACCGATGGTCGGGGCAAGATCCTCGACAGAACTGGAGATGAAGCTCACGAGCAAGCTGCTTTTACCAACACCTGAATCTCCGATCAACAGGATCTTGAACGATAGATCATAACCTCCTTGTCCTGATGAAGAAGACCCCATTTCTAAAACCTAAAACCCAGATGAAATCTCCCCTAAAGTTTTCTTCTTTCTCGATCTAACCCTCCGAAATTAGAGACCCAACACACAAAAACAAAAAAAAAAGGGGCCCTGGGAAAAGAACTATGAACCACGAGAGATCAAATCATACTAAAAAAGCAGACTTGTTTTTTCTTGCATATATTTTTAGCTGTCTGTAATGATGATGGAGATGCTGGGTGTTGATATCAACATCTCCGCTCCTCTTCTTCTCTATCTTACGAGTAGAAATCGAAAAGGGGGGAAAAATCAATAATTTGTAGAGGAAAAAAATTGGGATAGGAAACAAACACCTGACACTAACGTTATTCTTTCCTTTTCTCCGACACGTATTTGTTGGGTTTTGTTTGTGTGTGTGCGCGTGTATAGAGATATGTATTCTTTTCTTCTTGTCAAAGTGAATGCATATTTTGGGCCAAAACCCAAAAAAAAAAAATAGAATCAATAAAATCCAAAATCTCCGTAGTTTTTTTAATTACTTCTTGCATGTTTTTTAGGAAGGAAGCCAGTTTAATTTGTTTCAATAATTGTTTTATACGATAAAGTGGAGCTTTCACAATTAATTAAAATTAAAATACTATATAATCCTTATTTCTAATTGATCCAGCAGCCTAATATGAAGGCCTTCGTTTGCTGTCGGCCGAGCCGGGAAAACCCCACCTCCGGCACGAGTGCCGCGTCATGCTCCATCTACGTGGACCTACTACCGGTCATTTTTTTATTTTTTATTTTCTATAAAATAGTTGTATGATTATTGTTCACTACAATTAGTCTAATTGTATATGGTTAAATATCATAATGTAAGGCAATGCCTACTTTAATTTGATAAATCGGACCGATGGGTCTTCCAAACTTGAGACTTCATAATTTGACGGATAAATAATGGTACATATTTCAAATTAGTGGTCGAAAAACCACTTTTTATTAAAAATAAAATATATGAGTGCAAAATAAAATCATAATAATCATGGAGCATCTTTTTTAACAACTGCATGTACATACGGATTATACAAAGTGCTTGTAAATTAAATATTTAAATCTCCATGGGCCATGGCATGCATGCGGGTTGGTTGAGAAAGTTCCAAGTAATGATCACAAAATTATTCGTTTTTATTTCTCACATATGTACATTTTAGAATATATATTAGTTTAGCTTCCTTTAATAAAAAAAGACTTGTTCCTCGTTAAGACATTAACGTCTAGAAACATTGTTGTGTATATATATATACATATATGTATATGTCATTTTTATTAGGGATGAGCAAGTCTTGTCGGAGATGACCCACGTAGTGCAATGATTGGTAAAGATCGTCTACAGAATTCCTCAGTTGTCAAATCATACATATATATATATATATATACATCTATATATATAAAAAGAAAAATTCTAATTCCGTTGGCAACAAAGTTAGTCAACAAAAGTTAACCAAAACAAGTGTAAAAATGGAAAGGAAATTACCAAAAAAATCATCTAATTATAAGATAACTATCACATTCATAACAAAATTTTAAAATTTCAAAATTCATATTGGATTTGAATTTTTTTTTCTAAAAAATCATTCGAAATCTAAAATTTAACAAAATCTTAATCGGAACAGAATTAATTTTGCCACGTAGAAAGAAAGCATCTACATGGCGTCTATGTGACATGTATGTGTTCGCCACGTAGTATATACGTGATATTAATAATAAAAAAATTAAAAAATTGGAAAAAATGTAAAAAAATGTGAAAAAATTTTAAAAAATGTAAAAAATGTAAAATTGTAAAATATTTTCAAAAAATGTAAAAATTATAAAAATTGTTAAAAAATTATAACAAATTGTAAAAAAATTCTAAAAATGTAAAAATTTGTAAAAATTGTAAAAAAATGTAAAAAATGTAAAAAAATGTAAAAAAATGTAAAACAAATTGTAAAAAATAATAAATTTTTAATTTGTTTTTTAAAAAAGGGAAATTTCCAAAAAACCAACATCCAATTACGAGATAACAATCAAATTCATCACGAACTTTATAGTTTTCCATTTTTTACAATTTTTACAATTTTTTTAACATTTTTTGAAGATATTTTGCAATTTTACATTTTTTGCAATTTTTATAGTTTTTTGCAATTTTTTTTTACAATTTTTATCATTTTTATAATTTTTACATTTTTTGAATTTTTTGAATTTTTGTACAATTTTACATTTTTTACCATTTTTTCATTTTTTTTATAATTTTTTCACATTTTTTATAATTTTTTTTATATTTTTTCCATTTTTTTTAAATTTTTTATTATTAATCTATGTGTATCCTATGTGGCGAACACGTACGTGCGACATAGGCATCGTATAGGCGCTTTCTGCCTATATGGCAAAATTAATTCTGTTTCGACGAGTATTTTGTTAAAATTTAAATTTCGAATGATTTCTTAGAAAAAAATTTCAAATCTAATATGAATCTCGAAATTTTAAAAATTCGTGATTAATGTCATACTTATTTCATAATTGGATGTTTTTTTTTGGAATTTCCCATATCGAAACTACAAACGCTTTGCTCTAAAAAAAAAATCATCCATTTCTTGAGGAGGGAGGGAAGACCCTCCGGATGAAGCGGAGGAAACGGAGAGAGTAGAAGGAGGGGTCGACAGAGGAGATGGAGCGAGGATCGAAGTGGAAGGACTTGAAGGCATGTTCCATCCTCTTGGAAAGGTTGTAGTCTTGTAAGATGTCGATAATGCCGAGGTAGAGGACAACATCGTAGCATTCGTGGAACATATGTTCCTCCTTTCCCGCTATCACCTCTGCTCTCGCCGGCATGTTCACTCCCAGCTGTATCTGCACCCTGCACGTTGATACCCGTCATTTCAGGAAAACCAGAAAAATTGCGGTCTGAGCTCGGGTATTCACCCTAATGGACAGCCAAATTACATAAAACCTCTCTAAGTTTCAAGTTTAGATTCGGATAATCCGAAAATTTCGAGTATCCTACCCGAGTCAACTCCTAATATATCGTATCTGTTTTGAGAAAAAAAAACTCGAAATCCTGTATTTAAACTCTGGTTCCCAAACCCACGAGTATTCAAGAATTATCTCGAATAACCGATCAAAAAAGATCCGAAATCGGGTAATATCACGTGAGACGGATGATGGTTTAGTTTGATTTGGTTCTTCATTTTTATCAGTAACACAGAGAAAAATATGCTTCGATAATTCAAAGTAAAAAGAATACCTGGCTGTTCCGGGGAGAAGGAGATCGACTTCCTCATCGCCAGCAGCGGGAGCACGTAATCTGCTACCTCTGATGTGAGGACCGACCACCACATCGTCTGTCTCCCGAGGGACCAGAACCAGTCCTTGCGGATATGACAACATGAACATGTCATCCTCAATAGTATCTGCAAAAAAAATTCATTTACAAAAGTTTCTATAACAAGCAAAATATCCCGAGCCGTCCGACAAGCAAGTTAAAAAGGATTTCTCACCATCCTCGGCCACGCTTTCCAACCCGTCACCCGTCATGCTCCGGCTTCGGACCATTCCCGACCTTAGATACTGCGGAGCTCGATGATGAACACCCAGTAAAAGACTGTAATCCATTATGTTTTCAGCTTCTAAGAACTTGCTATCAACCTCTATTTGCCTGTTTGAAAAAACCAGACAAGGGCAAGTGAAGAAACATAAAGACATGACATGAAGGGTATTGTTCCTCGGAAAACAAAAAGAACAGTACTTTAGTAAGGCTTCACGCCAGGAAGGCTCCAAGTAGAAACAGTAGTTCAGATCCAAGTCTTTAAGTATAGTGTTCTCGTCTATTTCGACTTTGTACGCAGAGCGTCCAAGTGATGAACCTTTCAGGTCAAACCTCCGATGAATTCTCAATTCTGTACAGAACATGTTGCCCATCACCACGAACCGGAACTGCAATCCAAAGAGCGAGTTTTTTTCAGTTTAAGTCTATGAAGTTTCAGACACACTGACTGTAATGCAGAAGACAGTTTCGGGTTTTTCCCTCTCGGTTTCCGTATAAACAGATTCAAAGCTCGGGTGTTTATTTTGGATGATGATCATACCGAGTTTTCAGTACCTTTTTACCACTGGAAGGTTTAACTCTGTGAAGGCCAAAGAACTTGGTTATAAGTGTGTTCTCATACTTCTTCACATGATGATGGTAATCTGGAAGCATCCTCACAAGAACCTTAACGATAAAATTTATCGTTACTAAAGTCCGTAAAATGCAAATGGGCGGCCATACAGAGAAGTGCAATATTCAGACAAGAGTTGCAAACCTTAACTTCAGATTTCCTCAGTGTTTTGATCATGAACCGATCATCCTGAGATAGGAAGAATACACTACCACTCTTCCCAGGAGAGGAAAGTTCCCTCAAGGAATCATTTCCACAAATGGACATCATATAGTCAGCTGCATCAATCTTGAACAGCTCCCTCAGGTCCCTAACAGTTCAGGAATGGATATAAATCGGTGAAATACTCTTTTTTTTTTTTGGGTGCGATTAAAACTAACGTTAGAAAATGAATCTTGTATGCTAAAACCACAAAACAACAAGTCCTTAGACTTGACTTGAGTTCAGATACAACAGAATTGAAGCAAAATCAATGTCAAGTACCAACCTGAACACCATCGGACAGTAGTCTTTCCATTTAAAATCTTCCGAGTGGTGAGGAGGAGTCATCGAGGAACCAGCTTTGGGAAAATTCATCCAAAAACTAGCCCGTGGTCCAAAATCCGATTTCCTCACTTCACGTCTCTGTATCGGTGTAATTTTCCCCACGGTGTATCTGACCATGTTCTAGGACATGTCAAATGATAGCTATGTTTTAAACTAAGATGATTGGCAAGGAGTGAGTACTTATCTGAAAGCAATACCCTCATTCTGTAATGAGTTACAGACTAGCTGGATTGACGTGCAATTGTTTTGTATCTACCTATATATGCATATCTTTGTAACGAGTCATCATTATAGGACGGAGGATTTACAAAGAGACCGACTTCCATACCTGATCCCGAGCTGCAAACTGAGCATCAAATCATAACTCCGGTGACCTTTGATAATAACTTCTCCGGGCTTCTTAGACTCTTTCACGAGTCTTCTGTGCCTCCTTTTCGCTCTCTTCGATGGTCGTGTAAACCCGTTGTTAACCACGAGCTCGCTTATCAAGACACCTTGCATATATTCACGCTCCAATACCGGCACGTTTGATTTGTTTCGGACGTTACCACTATCTAAACCTGGCTTAGATAAATCTGAAGAGTAATCATGTGCAATCACCTTTTCGATAGATACTTCAAGACTCCATCGTCTTTCTAAAGAGACCCTTCCGTTCCGTGACTGTTCCAAGTTCATTAAGCTCCCCTTTGAGAGTTTATCAGTTGAACCGAGCCCGGTTCCATGGTTCATACCGACTCTGATGCTGTTCATATTAACCGAAGAAGCAACTTGGTTCTGTTTTCTAAAATCCGGTAGAACGCCTCTTTTTCTAAGAGCATCTAAATAACACTCCTGCACATCAGGAACCTTACTCCCTGCAGGATAGAATGAACCTTTACCATCCTTCAAACCTCGTGTCCATGTTCCGACATAGCATCCACCATCACTCCATGTGTATACTCCGAATCCATGCATCATGCCATTCAGCCAGCTTCCTTCATAGGAGTCTCCATTAATCCATGTCAGAGTACCCTTCCCCAACATTTTTCCACCTTTCATATCTCCGAGATAAACATTTCCGTTTGCCCACGTATACTTTCCCGGCCCTTCTGCCATCCCCTGAATCCAAGAGCCTTCAAAGACATCCCCGTTAGGGTAAACCTGATATCCAAGCCCGTGTTTGAGATTAAGCCGCCATCTTCCTTTATAGGTTAAGTTGTCGGCACTTACATATGTCCCTGTACCATGCATATAACCACCTGAAAACTCCCCATCATACCATGCCCCAGAAGACCGTATCATCTTTCCATTCCCATGCCTCATCCCACGCCTCCATTCCCCCTCGTAAATGCAACCATCTGACCAGATGTACTTCCCGGATCCCTCGGGGATATTTCCAAGCAGCGAACCGGAGTAGCATTCGCCATCGGGCAGCGAGAGCTCCCCGACTCTGAATCCAGCATTCTCAGATACGGCGGAAAGTTCTCCATTCCTTAATATAGATGCAAGTTCTTTATTAGTAATTGCGTCGGCGGATTTTGTTCTTTCTGCACAAGCAAGTGGTCCTCCCACATCAAGTGTGGCCATAGGGATAGACATGCAAATTGCCGAGGGAGCGCCTTCGGGAAAAAGCTTGCAGATGGGTCTCGTCGACGAAAATGAGATGGTATCTCTAAAAGCTCGTCCCTTCAGGACTGTCACAACAACAAAAAGGGGAGCTTTACTGGTCAGGAACCATGATTGAGGATATAGACTGCGCTGAACTATGCCACTGACCAAGTACCTTAACTAGAAGAATACAGGTTGACTAATTTCCCAAAGATTCTAGTTCCAGTTACAGGTTGATCAAAAGCAATGGGGGAAAAGAACAAATATGGTATGCTCTTCCAAAGAGGAAATACTTTTTCTTAAGATGGGTATCTGATTATTATTCCTATCATACAAAGGCAAGAAAGTTCTTTCGATTTCACACACATAAACAAGAAGAAACGTCCATAAAAAGCATAAAACTTGAAATCCGTGGAATGCCCATCAAAGAAATGATTCCCTCCAAAATCTACAGACAAAACCACGGAATTCACAGCAATGCGGGATCCCAATCCATTGATCAAACCGCCATATCGAGTCTCAGAACCTCCAGAAGAATCTCATTTTGCAAATCTGAACTCGAGAAGGAAATCTCTAATCACACGTCAAACAAAGCAGTCCTCATACGAAACTATACAGGTATGATACTAGAAAAAGACGATGTGTGTACGTAGTAACACCGAGTTCGTGAACTGGGTTTCTCAGAAACACGCCCAAAGATTAAATCAAAAGCAACCGTTTCGAAGATCGCAGAATACTTCAAGCAAAAGAAAACCAGACAGAGACAAACGGAACGCATGGAAATGTCCGAATCGAAAATGGAATTGGATGCAACACCAAATCGAGTCATACGCCATAAAATGCAAAAGGACAAAATGAAACCCAAAACCTATCTCCGGCTATGTAACCATTTTCATCGAAAAAAAAAACAAAAATAGGAAGAAGAAGAAGAAGACGGAGAAAAATCGAGTTGCAGAAACCGTACGGACAAGCTTCTTCTTCTTCCTTCGTATTCGTTTTCTGGTCAGAGACGATTGGACCAAATCCCGAAGCTTAGCGCCGTAGGCCCGTAACGACAGCTCTTTTTATATCAGCCAAAAAGAACGAAAATAAAATAAAGAATGCCTCTTTCTATGGAAAACAAGCTCCAGCTTCCAATTGATCAAAGCAAGAAGACGGATATACCCTTCATGTTTCCGCCTTCGTATGTTTTCACTATTTTCTTATCTGGTCCCAGACAAAAGTTTTTCTTACACTTCAGCATCAAAACAACTATTCGTGCACTGAACACCCCCCCCAAATCTAATATGAATCTCGAAATTTTAAAAATTCGTGATTAATGTCATACTTATTTCATAATTGGATGGTGACTTCCTCCAAAAAAAAAAAAGCGTGTACGAGAGACAGTGCGCAATCCAATTGAAATCAAACCCAACTGAATATTGGAATTAAATCAAAACATAAAACCAAATTGATATGCAATAATTGCTTTTGATTGTTAATCCTTTCCAAAATTTTCTAATATTTTTTTAATAAGAAAATTCTCCGTACACATCTTCCTTAGATCCAAAAGATCCACCAGATGATTACCGGCTTAAGATGGAATGTGCCATAAAATTATTTAAATATTGATAAGATGGATTCAAATACATCTATTGATTTTTTATCAAATCAAACGCTAAACCAAAGGAAATTGAGTATTATGGGATTGTATTGCAAATCTTGTTTTGTAACTCTCTTAAGTCATCATCGTGCTTTTAGATAATCATTGCGATATTATTGGTGACCAAAAAAGGCTGGATTAAACTAATAAAAAACGAATAAATATATTTAATTAATTAATTGGTTAATTCATGAACTTAAAGTATGCTTTCCCATGCAATATACGTACGTACCGATTATTTTTATGTCCATCTCATGTAGTTAATTTATTTTAAATGTTACTTTTTTTAGTTTAATTTTAATTTTAATTGATTTAATTTAATTTTAAAATTTATGGATTCGCTTTCATTTATATGCATCAATCTTAATGGTAATTTCTATCAAACAATTATATCAACCGGTTTTATTAGGTATTGTACTATCCGAAATTATTACAAAGTTACAGTTCTAACTTTTCAGTTAATTTTATTTTTTTTTAGATATATTTTTGTGATAACGAGTGTTCGCTGTTTCGCATGTGATGTGTCCGAACTCAGAGCAAAATATGCCCTACAAATTATTACTACCCGTTGATGTTATGAGCAAATTTTAAAAGGCAAACTAATTATTTTTCGTAAAAAAACAAAAATAGTTAGATATCGATGGCTGAACTGCTAACTTGGCGAGTGTGTTGGAAAATAATCGAAAAGACTTATATACCTGATACGATATAAGTTTTCAACACTGTATCTTGTTATAATCTGTAATCTGGATATTACTTCGACCTGTAACACGTATGAACGGTAGAGAATCCGGATATGACTTCAAGGCGTGTCACTTTCCTAAAAGCGTTATTTCATCCCTACCGGGTAAATGAGATTACAGGAATACACTTTTGAAATACAATTAAGCTTCAATCATTTCGGATTACCCTTCCGAGAATCATCATACAAAAACTTGTTTATGAAGATGAACACAACCCCTTTTGATTGAGTTTGCAAAAACCATCAAAAGAAACACTCAAAATCTCTCAAAGAATTAATCACCATTCGTTCTCCACTTATTCTAACGTTTTTAGTTTATAAACACTAAAAGACATCATCAAAAGTTACTCTGGCAGTTTTCTGACAGTTTTCAAGTGAAGAATCGTATCTTTTCGAAAAAACTAACTCAGAGTAAGTTACAACGAGTTACCACTGACACACTCACATAATGAGTTACAACTGACTCATAGCGAGGTACCCCTGACGTATTTTACTATCAAAACAAATACATGTTTTATTGATTCATATTATATCATTTACGAACATTTAGCTCCTCCACCACCTTCGTAACTCTAAAATATACATTTTGAGTGTGTATCATTAAGCCAAATATAATAATTTTTATTAGGTTTTTTATCATATTAAAATAAATTAATGGCAAACCCTGTTAATCATAATTAATCAATATGTATTTTTTTTTATAATTTTGGTTAACAAATTCGGCCAAAACCACATATTTTCCATTTTAGTTGAAAATTTTGTCACGCAGTTTTCAGCTAATTTTTAAGTTTAAATGTATCATATTCATTTAGATTCTGATTTATAGAATGACATATAATTGTATCGAAATTGATCTAAGTTAAAATGTTATTTAGATATGACTTTCATTGAATTAAATTAATTGAATTCAAGCTAGACCAAACTCTCTACGTACGTGATTGACTTGTTGACTAATTGATTGATATACTTCTTCTCGTTACCAATACGCACAATGTATATATATTTATAGCTATACAACCTTTGACACAGACAGAGGGGCCTCCCTCGGTGGATTGCAATCTAACGATATTATATATATATATATATATATATAATGAGTAGACTATAGTATTGTGATATGGAGCTTTCTATTGGTGGAGAGGTTTGATTAAAGATGAAGACAGTAATCATTATTTAAGTAAAGAGCCTTAAGTACGGATTACAACATCGTTAGCATTAGATTTTGGTGGTGGATTATGACCCAAGTGCTTGTGATAATCTTTTTTATGTAGTAACCCAATTGTCTCTCTCTCTATATATATATATTTCTAATGGCAGCATGGGTTGGTCCATTTAGACGTTGCAATTCAATATACCCCTCTTTCCATATGTATATACATATTATATACTCATTATAGTACGATTTTCGTTTGACAACGAAATAAACATGTATTTGTTGAAACCAATGCGTAACGTCGCGTATGTTGTATATAAATGTGCAAGTGATCATAATTCCTTCTTCAGCATTCATATTCTAATAATTAGCCCAACAAAAGTCAAAAAGCGATTACAAATGGGACCGAACCTCAAAAGCCCATCCAACATACCAGACCAACCAAACTCTTTGGTCCATCAGAGAAACTCAAGCAAATAGATAGACAGTTTCAGGCATAACCATCTTCTTCCTTCTCTCCTTGAAGCCACTGTCCTTTCTTTTATGTATGCATGTATACTTGGGAACAGAACGTGAACGATAAATATGCATACATATGTGTGTGTGTGTGTGTATATATACCTACAAACTTAGCTGTTCATCGTAAGAAATGTAACCTTTGCCTTCGATCGTGTACCGGAGAAGAGATTGGGGGTTAATCTCTTAAGCGATCGAGCTCCCTCTCCCACTTCAGTCCGAATATTTGCCGGCCAAAAGGAACTATAAGGTTGTAATGGTTAACCTGCAAAGAAACATGTCCACCACAAGTGGAGACAAATACAATTCAAGCAGCATTTCATACCAAAATATCGAAAGTTTCTAAGTATCACAGAATTGCAAAGTGTTTTTTATTTGAAGCCTTACCATTTTGTTTATGTCTTGCATTCGAGTTTTCAGTGCCTCTGATCTCTTTTCCCATTCAGATTCATCCCCTTCAAGTTTTATCCTCCATGCTCTCTTCAGGGCTACTCTCCATTCATTTGCATTGCTCCGGATTTCTTTGTTAAGCTCCACCCATTCTGGGGCGAACCCGTTTTTGTTGAGAATCCTGTAAAGGGTATCCTCCGCTGGGTCTGCATGAGGATTTGTACTGAGGTTCAGGGGTTTGCCTTTTCCTGGTAAGTTCTCGAACTGGCCTTCTTCCATGGAATGCCATATTCTCTGCTCGACGACATTGATTATGTCTGTTTCTGACCTGTAACATGATTCTGTGTTAGCACCAAAAGAGATAGAATACCATGCAGATGAAAATGATGGGCGTTTCAACAAGAAAGAGAGGTTTAGTAAGACAGAGCAAGCAAACAGATGACATATCCATTGTTGGAGACAGCAACAAGCTTTTCATCATCAAAAGATTGGATCAAACAAAAAACAGCCAAACAACGAAGCTGATGCAATGCATTAACATTCAGAACCAGAAGAAAGAAACTTGTTCACATCCCAGATAACTGCAAAATTGGAAAAAGTCAGCCAAACACCACAACTGAGGACCAAATATCACCGGAAAGTGTATCATAACACGGTCATTGAAAATATACTGCTAACTGGTGCAACTACAGTGCTACTTATCAAACAGAATGCTGATGACAGTCCTAAAAACTTGGCCTCTTTTCGTTTGAAGAACCTCTCTCACGGCCTTCTCATTAGGCACAAACCCCTTCTCCTCCATCTCTTTCAACAATTCCCTAGATGAATCCTCCTTTTGCTCCCTTACAAATGCTTCAAACACAGCCAAATAGGTGGTAGCATTGGGGCGAATGCCCTTTTCCAACATCTCTAGCAAATACTTCTTTGCATCCCCCAGCGACTTAGCATCCCTTGCGAGGCCTTTGATAAGAACAGTGTAAGTATATGCATTGGGTGCAACTCCACAAGCGAGCATACGCATGAACACCTTGAGAGCCTCATTAGGCTGACCCGCCTTAGCATAAGCCTCGACAATGGCAGTATGGGCAACCACATCAGGCATGTGGCCTTTGTCTTTGATTTGGGAGAAAAGCTCGAGGGCTTCATGAGTCAGGCCATCTTTGGACAATGCATCAAACATCTTTACAGCTTCATTGGTAAGGCCTCCTGTTTTCATCTTGTGGAAAACTGCTTGGAGATCCTTAGGATCCTCTGGCTCCTCTAACACTGGTTTCTTGTTGAAAGGGTCATATGGTGGAGGGAGCTTCTTCGGCTGGCCAGCATCTTCAACAGCAAGTGAGGTTTCCTCCTCTGAGTCATCATCTGAGGGAGAGAAATTGACTTTGGTATTTACCCTCTTAGTATCAGAGCTGAATTGCCTTGCGAAAACTCTATCGCAAAAGCATGGAGACAGAAAATGCCAAATGAGCTCGAAGCTTGAAATGGAGAAAATGGTTATTTCGTTCTCTACACCATCTGGTCAAAGCAATAGCAAACTGATAAACAGAACACTAGCGAGCAAAACACCAAAAAAGGACTATTCACACTAAAAATCAGGATACTACGAACGTTTGCTTTATCCGACAAGACCACAACCAAAAGGGTATTCAGGTTCATATTCAAAGAGATGTGTGTTCAATGAAATGGCCATGGAAAGGATTTCTACTATGCATCATTCCGAATCTAAGAACCCGAAACAGTAGTAGACTATGTAGACTCCAAATCACACAAAATTAGGTTCAATACAACTGTATGCTTGAAAAGAGATGATACCGGACGGAATTGCGCTGCCCACGTAGCTCCGGCGGAAGCTTCCGGTCATTGACGGCGTCAATCACGGAGGAAAGACGATCGGTCATATTCTTCCCTCGCCTCTTAGAGGCCGCCGTCAAGTCCTCGGGACTCGTCCACGACGACGACGACGAAGAGAAGGCGACAACCCTACCGGTCGCAGGGGCAGAGATATCCGAAGTCAACCTCCAGATTCCGAGCCGGAAAAGCGACGGAAACGACGAAGGCAAAGATGATGATGCAGCCAATGACCTGGCGAGGCGAATCGCCATGGTTAAGCTCCGAAGACAAGAAGGTTCTGGTTAAGCGTCAGAGACGGGATCGTGGTGAGTAATGCTGAGCTGAGTCGGGTTTTCTACTTGGGCTTCGGAATGCGCGTCGTTTACATCTTAACTACGTGTCGTTTTTATCTGGGCCTGTTTAAGACTTTTCGTCCATTGGGCCTGTTTAAATACATTTGTATTTTAAAGTTTCTGTTTTGACCCCGAAATAATAAAAAATGCATATGAAATCCATAATTTTGACAATTGATAAGAAGTTTGGCTAAATCAATAAATTTCATAAATGAAAAAAATGCACACCTTTGATGGGTTTAGAATCAATTAAAAGTCATAACTTCTTCTCACAAGAACACCAAAATAAAAGAAAAAAAAAAACAGAGAACAATGTTCAAAGGAAATTAAAGAAACACTCAAATCCAAGAACCCTCCGCTTCTAGTAGCGGCCTCCGGTATTTTCGGTTTTCGGTACATCACACATGGGAGTGGTATAATAAAACGGTCCGACCACATACTTAACCAGATCCCGGTATACACTGAATGGTCTAAGCAATTTGACGCCGGTTTGGCCTTTACCGAAATCGGTCGGTATATCGCAGGACCGGTCAGGAGAAGAGACGAGCCGTACGGTACAGAGTCGAGGCTTGAGATCTTTGCCGTTGAGGGTCTTGTTGACGAGCAAATCGAACTCGCCTCTCTCGTCGGTTTCGTCGCTTCCATAGTACCTCACTCTCCTCCTCTCGTCCATGCATGTGATTGATACTACGGCTCCTGAGATTAATCGAAAGAGCGGTCGGGTTAAACCGGTTTTCGGTTTCCTATACCGGGGTTTTTGTGTGGTTGGTTCAACGGAATTCTCATTGTGGGGAGACTTTCTTGTAGGGATAGATTAAATTATCGTGTATCCATGAGTCGGGTACTTGTTAATTCAGGTTTTGAATATAAATACGTACTTTTGATGGGGGCAGAGCCGTTGATCCAATCGTGGAAGCTAAGAGAGCAATCTTGGCAAAGCACCTTACCGGCGACGTGGATCACATCGCCCTCGTTATATGCCGCCGCATTCCCCACTAATCCCACCACAAACAAAATCTCTATTATCACTATCAATTTCTTCATTCTCTCTCCCCCCCTCTCTCTCTCTCTCTCTCTCTCGATCTCTCTCTCGACTTCGATTTCTTGAATTCTTTATATACACATATATATATATGTATGGAGAGGTTTCGGTTAGGGAGTAATATATGTGCGTGGAAGGGCACTACTCGAAGACGTGCGGTCCATTTATTGTATTATGGTCTCAATCATATGACAATGCACACTGCTTATTATAATAATCAACGTGTGTATATATACATAATCATGAAACAGGCCACCAATTATTGATATTAATCTGTATAATTCCTAGACACGTGTTGCGTTCTTCGAAACTTGCGTGTTTTCTACTTTTGTTACCAAAACCAGTTCTGTCCTCGTCGATCTCGACCTTCTTCTTTCTTCCCCGTCCTCTCTACACGTAGAACCTTCCGACCTAACTCATTAACAAATTAAGGCATTAAGCTTGAACTCTTGTATCATGGTTAGGGTTTAGAAGGGTAATATAGTAATTTACTATGATTTAACCTAGAGTTCCCTACGTATACAACACGATGTACCATGAAATTTTCTCTATAGTTTATTCGGGTTCTCAATATCGAAACGGGAGCTTTTTTTGCTTGAAGATGATATACAAATATGGATTTCGATCTATTCCACATGATTTACACAGGCTATTGCGTGGAGTCCGCGTTTATCACCGCGTCCGAAGAATTGTAGTTGAGTTTCCACCGTTACAAAAAAAAACGTGGATTTGGAGTTTACGTTTGAATCAAAAGGAATATTTTGTGTACATTACCTAGTCGTCGTCCATTCATTCGCTTCATAGCTTCTCTTGCACCATTTGAGGTTTCAAAGTCGATGAAGGCGAACCCTCGAGATTCGCCTTTGAAGTCTTTCGCCAAAACGAGGCTTGTGATTTTTCCGAAATCCGAAAACATCGTATCTAACTGTTCTTCCGAAACCCGTGGATCCAAATTCGTGACATACAAACTCGAGTATGCGTCTGGAACGAACAACTCGAGATGTACCTTCGCTTGTGATCTGCAACATCGTTAGAGAAAATATCATTAGTCCGAACCGAATCAGATCGACGAAATATGATATGTGTTTAGACAAAGCTACTGAAGGACGCAGTAGATAGTTTGTCATTTTGCATTAATTGAAGCAAAAGAGGAATTCTTGAACTTTTGGCTAATTCCGTTTGCTTATTTCATGTATTAATGTACGTACACTGCAGGAAAAATGGGTGATGTTGGTCAAAATATTATTGGAAATGGCATTTATTAATTACTGGTAAACAAGTAGTCTCAAAACGATCTCATGCATATATATATATATATATATTTGGTGAGATAAAATTTCATGGAGATTGGAAATTGTTTTACAAAGTCACATGACGCCAGAAGCGTTACAAAAACTCGTGTGTGTGCACATAAACATGGAGATATAAATTATATATAATTATATTCGAACTGAACTGGCATAAAAACTAACTCTGAATAAATTTTATAAATTAATTAACAGATTTTAAATGGAATAAAACAACAAAAAAGGAGTATTTTTAATGAAATATCAATTTTAGATCAAACTAAAATAAAATATAGAAAACAAAAATAAACTTGGAAAAAATATACATTACACCCGTATTATTTGGATTATATATGAACTTTGAGAAATAAAATATTATAATTCTAATCCAAATAAAAAAATTAGAACGTGGTACAGAGCTTTGAGACCATTCAAACAAAATAAAAAAATATTCAGAAATATTTTTTAGATAAAACAATTGTCGTTTTAAGAGGGAATGCAAGAAATTAAGACGAAGAATACGTACCTGCGGCTGGCGGGGGTAGGGGTCCAATCCAAATAAAAAAATTAGAACGTGGTACAGAGCTTTGAGACCATTCAAACAAAATAAAAAAATATTCAGAAATATTTTTTAGATAAAACAATTGTCGTTTTAAGAGGGAATGCAAGAAATTAAGACGAAGAATACGTACCTGCGGCTGTCGGAGTTAGGGTTCCGAATAACCATTGTCCAAACAGAGAAGGCCATCACCGTCGAGACCAGAATCTGCAGCCGCCGTGATGACGTCATTTTCCTGTCTGATTTTTCTCCCTAATCTCGAGACTATTTTTTCTGTCTTTAATTTTTTAATTATTTTATGCTCTGGATTTTGGATTTTGGATTTTGGTAAGGGAGAGAGAAATAAGTGAAGATGATGAAGTACGTCTGATTATATTCTCGAAATGGTTAGGTCTCTTCTAAAACCTTAAGCATGGAATAGGATAGGAGTGCACATGCTGGTTCGGCTCGAAGCCAAACGTATCCAATAAGATAAAATTATATTCAAATTAAATTTGACCTAAAAATTGTTTAGATATAATTTTGAAAAAAAAAATTAACTAAATCTGAACCTATCATGTATCTAATATATGAAAATAGCCAAAAAACTTTAAATAAAAATTTTAGAAAATGAATAATGATTTTCTTAATGAAAAGAGCCGAATAATAGAACAAAACCTATATAAAAACTTTTTTTAAAAAAAAAACCGAAATAACGAAAATAATTAATACTACATAACATAACAAAAACCTAAATGTAACTGATCCTTGAGATAATAGTTTTTATTAGTCAATTAATGTTTTCATTGAAGCAGGAATTCACGATTTTTTTTTATCTTGGTTCAAAATATACTTAATTACTTCATAATTACACCCATTACGAATTACGTGCGTGGCTCCACATTTAACAGAGAGAGAGAGAGAGGAAAATATTTCCATTAAGTCGAACTTAATGACACGGTTAGTGCTGTCTTAATGACAATATTAGTGCTGTCTTAATAAGCACGTCGTATTTACCCATAAAAATAAAGTTATAATTAGTAAAATTGGATCTTGGTGATGTGGCTACCATTAGTATCATAAAAAAATGTGGATTATAGTATTTTTCGTAAATGTATGAATTCCACGTGAAAGAAAAGCAAGCCCTTTTATTCAAAAAGAAAAGAGGAAAGCAGGGATTAAATTAGAATTCCGATTTTGTTTTAGCTGCAAATTCCAATTTCGATCTAGCTTAGAAAAGAAAGGAAAAGAAAAATAGGAAAAGACTCGCAGGACTGAAAAAGAAATAATAAAAAAAGGAAGATTAAAAAAAAGAATTAACAAAGATTTTCTTTTCCACGTCATTATATTTGGGTTTTAGGATTTGGGTCCATGGATATAAATATTTAGATTTCAGATTCAAACCTACGAAAACCCTTGACCCAATATACTCTTTTCCAAAACCCATAAACTTGAAATCCATTAGCCCCAAATCCAATTTCCTATAATCTTAGTCTACTCTCCTCTTCATGTTCGAGAACTTTTTCTTGCCTCTCTTGTGCATGAGGGTCGAAGAGCAAGCGAAGAGGGGAGACGATGTCTCTGATCATCGACGACCGGCAAGTGGTAGAAGGCAAGATCGAAACCTCAAACCCTAAAATGACTTTATACATTCCGTCGATAGATGAATACACGAATTTTAGATATCGACTCGGACCGAATATTCAAAAATTTTGTTGCCCATGTCCACCTTTAGATCGGATTCTCGAGGAAATTAATAATTGCGAAATTATATGGATCATTATCCCTCTTTTGAGTATCTAGAACCGGTTAAGAGATAAATATTTTGGTACCACGTACAACTTACGCTTATGGATTTTGTTATTCATCTTTTAATGTATATTTTTTTCTCGCTGCGGTTAGAGTGTTCAATCAATCTAGTCAGATATAATTATATTTGGTATAGTTTGATTTGGTTAGATGTTTTAAAATCTTATAAAAATTATGCGTATTTTCGCTTGAAATATATTGTATGACAACTTGTTGAAAGCGCTTTGAAATAGAAACATGAACCAATATAAATATAAATGATATCTAAATAGATATATAATTGTGATATAGAGATAACTACTTCCGGTATTGGCACGAGTCACGACGCTTACTGGTAATTATAATTTATAAATTTGTCTTATATAATTATTATCCCATAAAAATATCTAAAAAAAATAAAAATAAATAATAAGCTAAGGTCGCGGTCCTTCCTTCTCGGGTCAACATTACACGGCCGTAACAATGTGAGGAACATCCGTTAAAAGTCGTCGCAGCCACGTTTGTAAAGCCTCCCCACATGAATGAATAAGGACGTCAACCAAAAATAAAATGAATTATAATATATATATTATTTGTTATAAAAGACTTTTGTTCTATAATGAATTATGAAAATATAGCTAAGTTTTACTAGAAATATCTTCTATCTTTAATGAAATTTTAGTATTATGCATGTGTGGTTATTTCAATGTAAGACATTTAATCAGCTGGTTTGAGATGTATCGTTATTATTATTAGGGAATCAAACAATTACATGTTTAGAATATAAATTCATATGATTTTTAGTTTTACTTGTTATAAACCGAATTATATTTTTAATAAAATGTGAAAAGCCATCTTCCATTACTTATAAGCTCCTTGCTGGTGTGTACCCCTTAATATCTTCCAGATTTGGGATGTATATATAACGTCTACGTATTTCTCTGAAAGTTGCAGAAAAAAAAAACATGCTTTATTATATTAAGTTCAAATCAATATCGGGTTTTGGTTATATTTCAATTTTATTATTTTAAGTTTATTTTTTTAAAACTACAATTTTTTTTTTACTCATTTCATGTTATATTCAAACTAGATTTTTATGAAAAACTGATAATTTTTAATAACAATTTTGTTTTTTCAATTATTTAAAATTTAATTAGGATTTGATTATTTTTCAAAAGATCATTCACATTAAAACTTATATTTATTTTGATCAGAATACTATCAAAGTCTTTTTTTTTCCACGTTATATTAAAGTCTATTTAAATAGAGTTAAGTTACCATCTCATTTTTTTAACCAATTGGAGGACTAATTTCATTTATTTACTAATTTACCGGAACGTTTACTTCTTACTTGTCGGCTTCCGCATTTCGTATGAACTTTTTTGGTTAATTCCTTTCTCACAAATAAACAAATTAGCAATTTGATGACAGAATTGGGAAACCAAATTAGAAACTTTCAAATTTAATTCTATACAAAATAAAATAAAATAAAACAAAATAAGAAAAGAAAAGAGTAAATCAACACCATGTGGGTGGTGATGATGCATGCGGTCAAAATAAAATAAAATAAAATAACTCAATTAGTTTCAACTTATTACAATTATTTCGTTAGTTACATGTTATATATGATTACGAACACGTAAATCACGTTAACACGTGGTGTGAAAAGTTGGAACATGTATACATAATCGGACCAAAACTGAGTGGTTGACCGATTGACCCATCAACCCCTTTTACTATATAAAGCCACCGAGAATGAAATAAGAGCACGCACACGCCAATTCTCATCCTCTTCTCTTCGCGTTTTCAGACAACAACGATGGATTCGCATAACGTCGTCTTCTTCCTCCTCTGCCTCTTCTTCGTGTCGCCTCTCCTATTAGGTATGATCGATCTTTTCAGTCGTAACCCTAATTAGTGCTTACTAATCATGAACCATCTCTCGCAGTTTGCACGTGACGATGATCATATATAACCCAGATACAGAATCTATATATCTTCGTTTCTGGTCTGAATATGCATCTCTAGGAGATTCATACACGCAGAGGATCAAACCCATGACCGCAAAGAAATGAAATTTATGTTTGGGTGCAGGGGAAAGTGTGGTTGAGGGTCGAGAACATGAACAACGTCATCCGAACAGCCACTTGTACGATTTCAAGCCGACGAAGCTGTTTGTGTTCGGAGATTCCTACGCCGACACCGGAAACATAAGGAAGTCTCTGTCGGATTCCTGGAGATTCCCTTACGGCATCACTTTTCCGGGCAAACCCGCCGGTCGTTTCTCCGACGGTCGTGTCTCCACCGATTTCCTCGGTTCGTTCTCCCTCTCTCTCTCTCTACTTAATTACATCAGTTAAATTCTCTTTATCATGATTAATTAAGTCTTGGACGTTCAAGCTTTTGCCTTTATTAATTTGAAACCCCCATTTGTCACCTTTTATTCCCAAAAAACGATTTGTCAAAAGGATCAATAATTTCCGCAGCTAAACAATTGGATTCAAATATCACAACTTGCCAAGATCGAAATGACATGATAAATAAACCGAACCAAACCAGATTAAACCGGTTTTTCTCTCTAATATATATAATCTATGGCGACTAGGTTCATACCCTAATCTTGGCAAATTTGAGAAATGATTTCAATTAGAGATTGTTTAGCCAGTTAAAAATATGGCTACTAGATATGGTTGATTAGTGATGGATTAGTGTTAAGTAATGAGTGGATAATCAGAATAATTAGCAATTAATATAATGTGGAATCGGTACGATGCACACAATGATGGTGTAAGTGCATGGTGGGTCTCCACTAGTCTGAGTCCTCTGAATTCTTACTCTTTTGCCTTTAGCTTTTTTTAGTTATCTTCTTGTTCATCTCTGCTTTTCGTCTATAAAGTTATCTTACCTGTATTCCTTTTTCTTCTTTTTTTTTTTTTCATTTTTACCGCTCCTGTCTATTTTATGTTAAAAACTGGGGGAATAATATAGAAAAACCATATAAATATGCATAAGAACATATATTTGGGTTGTTATTATATTTCAGCTAGAAAATTTTGAATCCCGTTTTCTCAGTTCTGAAAATCTATATCAATTTTATTTTTAGTCATTTTTTATTCTATTTTTTATCAAAAAATATTTAATTTGTTTTTTTCTGTTATATTTCATTTATATTTATTTGGTTAATTTGTTTTAAAAAATTAGTATTCAGTCGATTTTAAATTAAATTTGATTTTAATGCGATTGTATACTATTCTGTTAATCTGATTTTGAAGTTCAGAATATTTTATGTTTTCGTTTGGATTATTACAATACTATATCGCCTTAAAATTACGATTTATTCCAATTTTAGTTGTCATGGAGTGTTTTTTGCTTGCTTGTAAAAGACTTTCGTGGAAATTTTTATGATGGGTTTTTCTATATGATTAATTGCATCTTAGAAAACATAGTCAGGAATTTAAAAATTATGGTAATATTATTAATTATAATATTCCATTCATATTTTTTTTGAGTGCTTATGCCTGAAATTAATGCAACGCAATTATGCTAATTGTCCCTTTTTTCTTTCTTTTCAAAGCCTTTCTTTTTTCCTTTTTTTTTAAATAATATATTTCGAGGCCTCCCCTCGCACTGAGCAACCCACTACTAACGTACAGGCTTTTCACTTTAGTTCTTATATATATATATATATATATGTATATTAAACTTTATAAAGCTAAACACACACACGCATATGAGTTGTCAAAGTATCTTTGTCATGATACAAATTAAGTCTTGATAAAGTTTTAAATTACCAAGTAATATCATGTTTACTCAGTGCTGATTATTTTGTTATCCCATAAATTTTATCAAAGTCTCCTGGGGATTAGTGAAAATTCCCAATGCAGTCTTTTTTCGCAACTTTAAGATCCCCATTGCGAAATTATTCGGCAAACGTATTATCATCTTCTTATAATATTAAACGTATTACCATGTTAGATTTTATGATATATATAGTTTTTTTTAATATAACATCAACATACTAATAAAAAAAAAAAAAATACAAGATTTGTAATAATCTTGATCAAATATTCAGATGGAAATCTAACAGTGGCAATTTTTTTTTCTCACATGTTGATGCCAGCCAAATTCGTGGGCATAAAGTCACCGATCCCTTACCTATGGAGGAAGTACGCAAGCGGAAAACGCCTGAGGTACGGAATGAACTTCGCGTACGGAGGAACCGGAGTCTTCAACACATTGGTCCCTTTACCGAACATGACTACTCAGATCGATTTCTTACAACAGACCATCCGTGAAGGCGTTTTCCGCCGCTCCGAGTTTCAGTACTCTGTCGCTCTCGTCAGCGTTGCGGGCAACGACTACTCTGCTTACCTTGCCCGCAACGGCTCCATCGATGTAAGGCCGAAATTCCCGTCTCGAAACGATACTTCCTCGTCATACTAAATCTTTAGTAACCCTGAAATCTATCATGCAATGAAGCTGCAACAAGAATTTTCGTTACAAAACTCATGCAATGGAAAGATATATGATTTTAATTAACGTTTGATTGTATACGTGGTTTTTAGGGTTTCCAAACATTCATAAAGCAAGTGGTTGATCAGACGGCGTTGAACCTGAAGCGGATCCACACCTTAGGAGTGAGGAAGATAGTCGTTCCGGCGTTGCAGCCACTCGGCTGTCTTCCGAGAACCACCGTCGCTTCCTCGTTCCAGCGGTGCAACGAAACGTTCAACCTCCTCGTCAACGTACACAACACGATGCTGCAACAGGCCGTGGCAAAGCTAAACAACGAGACAAAGGGCTCGACTTTCATCGTTCTTGATCTGTACAACGCCTTCTTGACCGTCTTCAAGAACAGAGGCGAGCACCCAGGTAACCAAAACGAAGAAACCGAACAAACCCTAAAACGTTTTCACGTGTTTTTTTTCTGCGATATCTCAGTCTTACGAAAAAAACTCGTGTTTTTGGACATGGGGGCAGGAAGTACGACGTTTGAAAACCCGTTGAAGCCATGTTGTGTCGGAGTGAGCAGCGGCTAAAACTGCGCGAGCGTAGAGAATGGAGTGAAGATGTATACTGTCTGCGATAACCCGAAATCCGCCTTCTTCTGGGACGGCTCCCACCCGACCGAAGAAGGATGGAGAGCCGTTTACTCGGTCCTACGTGAAAATCTCGAGCGCATTTAGAGATCTCCGTACAATTAGGGTTTCTTTTTCCTCCATTTTGAAGTATAAAGTTATAATTATACGTTTTTTTTCGTCGTTTGTCTGATTCTGTTCTTCTTGTCCTTTTGGTTTCGGTTTCATCATCTCTTGATGTCGGAGTGAGCAGCGGCTACAGCTGCGCGAGCGTAGAGAATGGAGTGAAGATGTATACTGTCTGCGATAACCCGAAATCCGCCTTCTTCTGGGACGGCTCCCACCCGACCGAAGAAGGATGGAGAGCCGTTTACTCGGTCCTACGTGAAAATCTCGAGCGCATTTAGAGATCTCCGTACAATTAGGGTTTCTTTTTCCTCCATTTTGAAGTATAAAGTTATAATTATACGTTTTTTTTCGTCGTTTGTCTGATTCTGTTCTTCTTGTCCTTTTGGTTTCGGTTTCATCATCTCTTGATTCGTTTTGTGTTTCTAATAATGTTTGTTGTGCGTGTCTGAAGGTGATCTCTCTCGTGGGATGTTAAAAATTGTTCTGAAAATAAAACTGCCATTCAAATTTGAATTTTTTAAATTAAGGAAATCTACGAACCGTTTGATTTTATATCGAATTTGGTCATAGTTCAGTACAAATGGGCTTTGATAGCTGGACAAATCTGGGCCGGAGTCAGGATACACCTGAAATGTTCTGTCGGCCCAACAACTCAACGGCCCTAATTGGATTTTTGTATATGGTTAAGTTTTATATAATTAATAATTTAATCGGAAAGTTTGAGGATCAAATTAATTTCTTACTTAATTTTTTTGGTTGAATAATAATTTATTTCTTTAATTACTACTCCCTATCATCTCCAACCTTTATATTTATTTTGTTCACAAGGCCAAGTGGGTGTCCATTTGGACCGTTGAATTAAACAAAACAAATTATTATTATTATTTAGAAATTCAAGAAAAGCCCAAAAAGAAATGGACGATGAGGAAGCGATCGGGCGTGGGCCCCGCTCTCTAAAACGGCCGCTAATTTGATTTTTTCATAAGATATTTTCGCCAGTGCGATCTTTCTTCTTGGATCTCTCTGGTTTCAAGAACTCTCTCTCTTCCAGTTTTTTCGGGTTGCGTTGCTTCTCTCTCTATCGGAGCTCTCCGGCAAGAAGCGAATCCGGTGATGGTGGTGGCTCAAGGAATGTCGTCTACGGGTGTTGTCTCGCGGTTTTCTCTCGCTCCGTCGCTGGCGTCGTCTTCGTCTTCGTCTTCTTCATCCTCTGTTCGATTCACCACCGGTCTCAGAACCTCCAGCGCTTCTTTCTTCCTGAAGAAGCATAATCTCTCTCGTACACCTCTCTCTCTCTCTCTCTCTCTCTCTCTCTCTCCCTGTTTCTCTGTGATTTCTGATCTCTGTCTCGAAATTATCGTTTTGTTGAAACTTGGGATGGATTCCGGTTTCTAAATTGATTTTGGAAAATGCGAGTCTGAACTAACTTCATGTGCTACAGTTAGTAAATTACTTAGATTTCACGAGTATTCTTGAATCTTTTAGATTTGAATAAATTGAGTTTTGATCGGAATTTGTATGTCTTTCTTTTTGTTATACCCAATTTAATAATATATTAAATAGATCATCCTCTCAAGACAGAAGGGTATCAACTTTAAAATTTGTCTGGAATCAAAACGTGGTACGGGAGTAGTTCAAGCAATACCCAAGTACTGCTTGCTTTGGCTGCAAGATTTACTGTTGCTGAATTGATCGAAAAGCTTGTAAAGTGAAATTCTTGATCGTCCAAATGCAATGTTATTATACATTATATTGGGAGATATATCTTTTAATGTATAGTTGTGCGAATACACTTACTTGATCCATGTCTGTAGGGAAGATCTTTGCTGGGAAACCGTCTAAGGATTTTGATTCTCCTTCATTAGCTGTTACTGCATCTGATAAAGTTCTAGTACCAGGCAACCCAAACGACGGTTCTGTGTTGGTGACAGGTCAACTTGAAGCTCCGACCAGTTCTTCAGACGATACTCAGCTTAATGTATGTTTATTTCTGCTCATAAATCTATGAGTCTGATTTACTGAGCCCAGTTGTTGAAGATGTCCATCAGTTGATCTGTCTGGCTTCTCGTGCGGATGTTATATATCAAATGCTTGTGTATATATATATGAGAGATACTGATATTTTTCACTTTACCTTTCTGTGCTAATGGGAATTTTTAGATTCTGGACCCGAATGCTCAAATGACGGAAGACAATGAGCCGGTCAGAGAGTCTGTTTATGCTTTGAGTACAGAGGACAACAACGAAGCTCACACTGAGGCGGTCAGAGTTCCCCTCGGCGAGACAGTTATTATCAAGGAGAGGGAGATGAAACCAAAAGTGATTCCACCGCCTGGTGATGGGCTGAGAATATATGAGATAGACCCCATGCTGAGGAGTCACAGAGAACATCTTGATTACCGGTAAAGTGTTCTATCCTACTTGCTTTAAGTTTTGTCTGCAGTTGTACTACCCTTTCCCGAGAATAGACGTGCCTTTTACATTTGATTTTGAAATTTGTCGTAAGGCTAGGTATTGCTATTAGTTGTTTTGAATTCCTTATAATTATAAGTACTGTTTTTTGCTGCAGTTATGGACAGTACCGAAGATTGCGTGAGGAAATAGACAAGTATGAGGGTGGTCTGGAGATGTTCTCCCGGGGCTATGAAAAGCTAGGATTTCAGCGCAGGTAACCTTTTGCTCTCTGCAGCTGTTGCTACTTGTATAGGTCATTGATTTTTTAGAATTTGAAATGTATTAACAACTTTCTTTCTAACTAAAAGGTAATAGATCTGTTCATCACTTTTCCATTTTTATCTGCTTGAAATAGCAAGGTCAAAGCTAAGTTTCTGTCATTTTAATATCCTTTTATCATGGCCAAAAAAGATGCTCAAGTAAGTTTTCAAAAGTTATGCGATCAGATAGTTGCATGTAAAATGTTACAGGATTCCTCATGCTTTGAGCTTCTATCCTTGTGGTTTAGCAACTAATGATCATGTGAAGAATAAATTTGGACACCCTTGATACTAGCAGTAAACATCTATGTGTAAAAGACAAAACTGCATGGCCACTGAATTATCATTTTCCTCTGTCTCTCCCAATAATTTTGGAGTAGAGTCAAGTTTATATGTTTTTCTTTCTGTTTCAGTGATACTGGCATAACATACCGAGAGTGGGCGCCAGGAGCTAAGGTCTGTTTCTCAGTTCCTGCTTGAAAAATCTATGTTTACTTATGCTATAATGTGCTGGGATCTTCATTCATAAATGTTCCCTATATTTCTGGACAATATAAGGCCTCGTAGATGGACTCCTTGCTTCGTATTTGTTCCTGCAAAAGAAATTATTGGTTCTGTGTTTTCCTTCCATCATTGTTTGGTGATAATTATATGTTACAATTTGCTAAGGAGTGATATGACAATGTTACTTCAAAATGAAAAGAGGAGAACGTGGTTAAATGGTGATAATTCCCATTTCATCTTTCTTGACTGCAACACCTATAATTTGTTTGCTCGATCAAAACCAAATCCCCTAAAACATCTTTGCATGTTATAGTCATGGAGTTGCTATACTCCATGCAATCTTGTATTTCTTGGATATTTCGCTCTATCTTATATTTTGCATGTTATACTATTAGGGCGGTTGGTTCTTCTGAAACATATATCATGTTTATTTCAGTCTGCATCACTTATTGGAGACTTTAACAACTGGAATCCTAATGCAGATGTCATGGCTCGGGTATGTTGTGCAGACTATTTGCTTAAATTCTTTACTCTTGATTAAATTTATATGCAATAATGGTGAAGCTTGCTTGATGATTATTCCATAAAATTTATTACAGAATGAATTTGGTGTCTGGGAGATTTTTTTGCCTAACAACACTGATGGTTCACCTGCAATTCCTCATGGCTCACGTATAAAGGTAACCGACATGACTCTTCCTCCATTTACTCATTTGTTGCTATGATCCACAGTTACTTGTTACTTTCTTAACAGATGGTATCACTAAAATAGCTTTGTTGTAAACCAATCGATATTAACTTCTACAATATGCACAGAAGGAGATGATGTGATGCTAAATACGACAGATGTCTTCAGACATGCGTCAAGGACAGATGCATGAGGGGCTCCACTCCTAACCCTAACTGTATCATGCTCTGCGAAGACTTCTGCTATCACGGCCCAGGGTTCGTTTCTTGGTTTTGGATTTTTCATTTTTTTTATAAAAAAATTGTGTATATATGAATGTATATACTTGTTACTTGTTATATATGTGTGCGTGTATATATGTGCATACTCAATGCATGTATTTGTGCATATATGTATATACTTAGATATATGCGTGTGACTAGAAACTGTTTTTTTCTTTTTTTGACGACGGCAGAGGAATGGCAGCAATGACGAACAAAATTGGAGGATGAATGCTTCTATTCTGTGTTATGAAAATGTATGATGAGACTAATAGGGAAAAAAATCCCATGTATTTACATTTTCAATAATATAGTCACACGCATGGGATTTTTTTATTGAAAATGTAAATACATGGGATTTTTTTCCCTATTAGTCTCATCATACATTTTCATAACACAGAATAGAAGCATTCATCCTCCAATTTTGTTCGTCCTTGCTGCCGTCGTCAAAAAAAAAAAAACAGTTTCTATTCACACGCATATATCTAAGTATATACATATATGCACAAATACATGCATTGAGTATGCACATATATACACACACATATATAACAAGTATATACATTCATATATACACAATTTTTTTATAAAAAAAATGAAAAATCCAAAACCAAGAAACGAACCCTGGGCCGTGATAGCAGAAGTCTTCGCAGAGCATGACGCAGTTAGGGTTAGGAGTGGAGCCCCTCATGCATCTGTCCTTGATGCATGTCTGAAGACATCTGTCGTATTTCCAGCATCAGATCCAGAAATGGAGCTAAGGATTTAGCAGTAACTCTCAAAGTTTAGTGGCTGCAGTGCCTTGCAACAATCACTGTTATAGTTTGATAGAAAGAGTGATAATGAGTCTACCCTCTTTGAATGTTCATGGAGTCTACACCTCATGCATATGCATTTCATAAAACTGTGGTGTGTATACAGTGTTCTGTTTTTCTTTGTGTGTGTGCGTGTTTTGGGTGTCATATGTAAGGAATAAGGATAATAAAGTGATTTCTGATACATGTCTCTGTAGATTCGCCTGGATACTCCATCTGGTATCAAAGACTCAATCCCTGCTTGGATCAAGTTTTCAGTGCAACCTCCTGGTGAAATCCCATACAATGGCATATACTATGATCCACCAGAAGAGGTAAAATTCTGTGTGTTTCTTGTTTAAACAAAATTTTGAGTGATAGATTGCTCTTTAGTATATGAACAATGAATGAAACAAAATTCAGTGTACACGTTTACATGTTGGAAATGGTTTATTGTTGGTGTTTCTATGATGTCATCAGATAATTCAGTCTTCCTTTCAGCCTCCTTCAGGGGCTTACGGCACTAAATTTTTTTCAGGAAAAGTATGTGTTCAAACATCCTCAACCAAGGAGACCTAAATCACTGAGAATTTACGAATCACATGTTGGCATGAGTAGCACGGTATGCACCTTCTTCGTGTTTTATCATTACAAAGTTGCTTCCTGGACTTCTTCCAGCTCCTTGATATCAAAAGTATAATGCCCTGCTAATCCAAATTTGTTAGATTGGGCGTTCTTGAGATCTCATTTAAATTGCTGATCACTCTGACCTACACGTGTCCTCAGCATTCTGGAGCATTTCTTTTTTTTTAACAAACTGTTTTTTTTTAGATATCAGATATCACTTAAACTCCAACCTAAGGTAAAAATTCTGTATGCAAAAGTGATAATAGACAAATATGTCCATATGATGACGACTCACATTATTCACTGATATGATGTTTTCTGTACATTTTTTTTCATTTTCTGGATTTTTTTCCATCTCATGGTAATGATGCTGCTCTACTTGGGATGCAGGAACCAATTATAAATACATATGCTAATTTTAGAGATGATGTACTTCCTCGGATCAAAAGGCTTGGCTACAATGCCGTCCAAATTATGGCTATACAAGAACACTCATATTATGCCAGCTTTGGGTATTGTTCTTATCTGATTGCTCTCTAGCAGGATCCATGGGACTTGTATTGTTGATCCTTCTGATTGACGGAGAATCCGCTTTTTCTCTATGACGCTATCTACCTCTTCAAGCAGCTAATTTTTTTGGGGATCTGAATTCTTTTTTTCCTGCCTGAAGAGCATAACAGTATCTATTACATGTTACAGGTACCATGTCACAAACTTTTTCGCTCCTAGCAGCCGTTCTGGGACCCCTGAGGATCTTAAATCGCTGATAGATAGAGCTCATGAGTTAGGCCTGCTTGTTCTGATGGATATTGTTCACAGGTACCGAGACTTTTCATTAAAGATAACCATAAGAGTCACCATTTTGGTCATGGAAAAATCAATCCAACAGTTCTTTGAATTCGTTTTCATATGCTTATGTTTTAAACTTCCTAGCCATGCGTCGAAAAATACATTGGATGGACTGAACATGTTTGATGGAACTGATGCTCATTACTTCCACTCCGGAGCTCGGGGCAACCATTGGATGTGGGATTCTCGTCTTTTCAATTATGGGAGCTGGGAGGTACGTAATTTCCCCACGAATCATAATCAGAATATCGTGAAGAAGCAACCCTCTTGAGCATCGTGGCTGATTACAGTTTTCTACCTTATCTTATTTAGGTATTGCGGTATCTCCTTTCAAATGCACGGTGGTGGCTAGAAGAATACAAGTTTGACGGATTTAGATTTGATGGAGTCACCTCAATGATGTATACTCATCATGGACTTGGGGTACTTATCCTTTCTACAGTAAATGAAAAAGTTTTGGGGTACTTTGCTCTTCCTGTTCCTATTCAGCTTTTAATTTTCTAGTTATTTGACGTTTCATTTTTTGGGCTTGTGATAGGTAGGATTTACTGGCAATTACAATGAATATTTTGGATTTGCGACTGATGTGGATGCCGTGGTTTATCTGATGCTGGTAAATGATATGATCCATGGGCTCTACCCTGAAGCGGTTACCATCGGTGAAGATGTAAGTTATATGAACCATCTTCTTTGTAACCACCAACGCACTGGTTTTTCATTTAAGTACCGTGCTCTATGCTACTGGTTACATGCCAAGCTACAATAGACATGTATCATATTTTCTTGAAAGAGAGTCTAATGCTGAGAATTTAAATTAATAATGTCAAATGAATTTTGTTGAAAGTAGAATTTTATCTTATCCTACACGATTGACTTGTTATGGATACTGAAAAGAGACTACATTGTATCAATAGAGATTTGCTTGATCTATGGTCAGATAGAGACATCATCTTTGTTGATACAATGTCGTTTTCTTTCAGGTAAGTGGTATGCCAACATTCTGCATCCCTGTCCAAGATGGTGGCGTCGGATTTGATTACCGTCTACACATGGCAATAGCTGATAAGTGGATAGAAATTCTGAAGTAAGTTTCTGGTTTCATGCTGTGATCTTTAAGTTGAATCTGCTATAGTGTTTGTGCTTGACTCTGACCTACTTTCTTTCTTGTTGTTTTGTGAAGGAAAAGGGATGAAGACTGGAAAATGGGCGATATTATTCACACGCTCACCAACAGAAGGTGGTCGGAAAAGTGTGTTTCTTATGCTGAGAGTCACGACCAAGCCCTTGTTGGTGACAAAACAATTGCATTCTGGTTAATGGACAAGGTATAGACTCCTTTATACCCCTTCTTCATCACGTATATGATCTTGAATTTTATACCTTTCCAAGTGTTTTTTGTTCGGTTTATTATGTTGCTTTCCGTTATTGCTAAAGAGAATCGTTATCACTTTTCCGTTGCCCTACCTTCGTGTATGTGAATATATAAAGCTTTCAAGAATTGATGTGTATATACTGTTTGGCAGGATATGTATGATTTTATGGCACTAGACGGACCAACAACGCCACTTATAGACAGAGGAATAGCATTGCACAAAATGATTAGGCTTATAACCATGGGATTAGGCGGTGAAGGATATTTGAATTTTATGGGTAACGAATTCGGGCATCCAGGTAAATATCAGTTAAGCTTAATCTGTTCGCCGTTTTCGACGTTGTCTCTCGTCATCTTCCGCCATCTATTTGGTATCATATTCAAGTTGTATATTGATATCTGCATTTAACCTGCGTAATTCCTCATTCCCTCCTGCTTTCTTCTTCAGAGTGGATCGACTTCCCAAGAGGTGATCAGCGTCTTCCTGATGGCTCCGTGATTCCAGGGAATAATTTCAGTTACGATAAATGCCGCCGTAGATTTGATCTTGTGAGTTTCAGTCATGGTTCATACGCTGTTACCGTTTTTAATTGGGCCGGGAACTAGTGTTGTGGAATCACGGGTTACTGCAAACATTTCGAGATGAGTTCTTTTTTTCGGTACTGCCAGTTTTGCTGTTAGTTGATTTCGAGTTACTGTTGCGGAATAGGGGGATGCCAACTATCTCAGATTCCATGGAATGCAAGAATTTGATCAAGCTATGCACCATCTGGAAGAGAAATACAGTGTAAGTTAAATCTCGCAACATTATTCCAACGCCATATCGGAATAACAGATAGCATATTCTTGACGATATTTTGCACAGTTCATGACTTCAGAGCATCAGTATATATCGCGTAAAGATGAAGGGGAACGGATGATTGTTTTCGAGAGGGGCAATCTTATATTCGTCTTCAACTTCCACTGGAGTAACAGCTATTTCGATTATCGTATCGGCTGCACAAAGCCCGGGAAGTACAAGGTACCAACTTCCTTCTCTTTTTCGTTCCGACCCTACCAAAATTGAGATCATCCAATTTTGTTCCGTGCTAAGATTACGTTATCACCAGGCTAATAATCATAACCATGAACTCGAATGTTATCTTTCAGATCGCGTTGGACTCTGACGATCCTCTCTTCGGAGGCTTCAATAGGCTTGATCATTCGGCCGAGTACTTCACCTCTGTAAGCACTACTCGACGATTCAAATTTTAAGAGTTGTTGTATTTCTCTACTCTCCTAACGCTATGTGGGTGCAGGACGGCCGGCACGACGAACGCCCATGCTCGTTCACGATATACGCTCCATCCAGAACCGCCGTGGTTTACGCCCTAGACGACGAGGAGTAGCGATGAGGATGGAGTTCAGTAAGTGTCGTCGGTTTTCAAATGCATTGACACATTCAGATGAATAACGGGTATAAGTTTTGTCGTCACCTAATGTAACTATTTATTATAACCCAATAATAAGCGAATCCAATAAATAATTTTAAGAGATTCAAATGGACAAAAAAAATAATATAATATATATTTTTTTTTAAAAAAGACTAGTCAGAAACAGGTTGTCGAGAAATGTGGAGACACGTGCGAACTCTTTTAGAGTGAAAGAGCAAACTCGTTCCGACAGCTGGTTGCCTCTGTTGTTCACGTGAATCGAATTTTACATTAGAATTTCTTTCACGCATCTCCCATTTCGTTTTCTTTTTTCTTTATAAACAAAAAAAAAATAGACAAACTTCCCTGAATATACACATATATATATATATATCATATAATTATTTTGGCAGCTAATAAGAAATAATTTTTTTGTCAAGAACCAAAATAGATAATGATAATGATAATGATAATGATAATAATAATAATAATAATAAAGAGGCGGAGAAGAAGATAAGGGGAGTGAGGGACCAGAATCTACTCCGGGATGACAGTTGGATAGGCGCAACTGCCAAACACAAAAATTAGGACTTCTCAATAGAATTTGCTGATCTGTTTTTTTCATTTTTTATGCCCACACATCTAAAGATATAGCCACTGGTGTTATATATATATATATATATATATTAAAATTTCGGGTGTTTGATTCTAAATATGAATGATCTGTCCATATATTATGCGAATCTAATGTTAAGATAATCTTTCGCATCAAACATGTTCTTGATCTAACATCGTTGGAACGGTTGATTTTCCAATAATGGATTCGACTACCTGCAGGACGAATTAATGCCCAGAAATTGGTACATCCAATGCCTACCCACAACCGATTTATTTATTTATTATTATTAATAGTGATTATAACGTGTTTTGGCTGTCGAAATCTTTCGCAAAGATAGAAGATTTGATATTCGATTATGCGACTTTTGAGATAAGAAATTGAAGTTTTAGAATATTTTGACATGGACTTGAATAATAATTTGAAATCTTTAGAATTTGGCTAAGAATATTGAAAAAGATAGATTAATTAGAATAATTGTATTTTCGTTCATACCCATTTTATCATTAGAGAATGCAAATGGCAGACCATTAACTGGATTTAATTTGATTGCATGGATGCTGGCATTAGGTACGAAGTTGATATCTTCTCTCCATCCATCAACTCCTGCAGTTATGATCATCGTTACCATGGAAAACATGATCATCACGATTTACACAAATAAATATAATATACTCGTTTTTTTGGTGTTTTTAATATATATATATATATATATCATGGGGACCCCACTAACCGTTCTATGTGTTCAACGCATGCATTAGGCATGAGTCAATACATATCATTGACATGCCACCCTCTCTCTCTATATATATAATATATATATAGAGAGAGAGATTGAGGATGATCCTCTGTTCATGGCTTTTTTCATATTAGATGGGAATTTCTAATATCGTCTAATAAACATATTTGTTAAAAGTGAATAAAATCTGAATTTAGTTAATGTATATAATTTTTTAAATAATAATAATTGAATCGAAATATAAATAAAATCTAGAATATCTCTGTCTAATCTTTCAATATCCATTTCATATATATATATATATATATGAAGGTATGTACATGATCTCACGGCCAATAAAATTTTATCGTGGGATATAAATGATCCGACAAAAAAGAAATAAAATCTATAGTTTACTAATTCAGATGGTTATTTCTGCATAAAAATCATAAATCCCAACTATATTTGTTAGAGAATCTGTGTGGGCATTTTATATATATATATAAAAACATTTGCTAATGAACTCTTCGCCTATAAGATCAAATCACAAAAAAAACATCTGCGTGGATGAAAGATAAAAATCTCGATACCAAAACCAGTAATTTTAAGATAAGAAATCTAACAGATATAAATGGTAGATAGTAAGCATTTGATATTTAAATTTATGGATACGAAGTTTGGCATAATAAAGAGCAAAAAGGTAAGAAATTAAATACATACACAACTATTTATATGGTTTTTTGTCAATTATTTGGTAAGCTATGTATATATATATATATTCTGAATTTATAATTTTAAAGAATAAAATCATGTAAAGATTTCATCCATTAAAAAACAATGATAATAATTTATTCGCTATTACATACACGTACACTATACGTATATAAATCAACAAATATAATTTAAATTTGACCTAAATGAAAGACAAGGTTTAGGACCCACCAAAAAAAAAGAAGTGATAAAGAAATTAAAGGAAGGATTCTTGCTTCGAAGGTTTGCAGTTGGAGTCGAAGGGTGGCATCATCTAGTGTTTATATTTCAGATTTTGAATCTTTATTTTTTATGTTTGGATTTATTTTATAAAAATTGTAACTATTAGACTTTATATTATATAATTTTTTTAATTCCATTGGATACTATCGACCCACTTCTCTTTTGCCTTCCTATTTACGCTTCCTCCCCCCCCCCCCTTTTGACCCCGAAATAATAAAAAATGCATATGAAATCCATAATTTTGACAATTGATAAGAAGTTTGGCTAAATCAATAAATTTCATAAATGAAAAAAATGCACACCTTTGATGGGTTTAGAATCAATTAAAAGTCCAAGTTGATGTTTTTAAAATTCATATTTGTGTGTGTATATATATTTATGTAACGTGAATCTGTATAAATTGAACGATATATTTGTTTGTAAATATATCTGTACATATATATAATCTCCACTTCCCGAATGCATTTCAAATTTTCGAGGATAGAAATGATTTTTTAAAAAAAAAATCGATGCATAATCGGTTCGGTTTTGGTCCGGTTTAGTATTGAGTGACGAGGTATCTCCGGATTATACGGTCCACCCGATTGGCTTACCCTGTCGGTATAATGATCCAACGGTCCTCATTTCACGTCTCCAGATTTAACGGCTATAATTCAGATTCTCCTTCCTTTTTTTATTTTAAATATAAATCTAAAATCCTTTTTGCTTCTTTATATCAGTGGTTGGTGGGTAGTTAGGTCATTTCACCTACTGCTTTTTTTCTATTCTTTTCCTTCTCCTCTCTGTTTTTTAACTTTTATTTCTCCGTTTATTCAAATATACTTTTAGAAAAAAAAAAAAAAAAGGGAATTTATAAGTATTTCTCTAGATTGTGTAATTATCTTCGGTGTTCATATCGCAGCATCCATCATCTCTGGGTCCAAAAGGAGAGTTCTCAGTCGCCCATTTTCTTCTGCAGAAGAACCCAGAAAAAGAGAGAGAGAGAGAGAGAAAGAGAGGGAAAGATAAAGAGAGAGAGGGAGGTTTTTTGCTTTTGTGGAGCGAAGAGAGAAGAAGATGCAGACGATAGAGACGTCGCAACCGGCGGCGGCTCCGCCGCATAGCCGACAGTTGGGGGCGCAGTTATCGGGAAGTCTGAGTTTCAGCAGCCAAATGTCGAAGGAAGACGAGGAAATGTCGAAGTCTGCGTTGTCGGCCTTCAGAGCGAAAGAAGAAGAGATCGAGAAGAAGAAGATGGAGATTAGGGAAAGGGTTCAGGCTCAGCTCGGCCGCGTCGAGGAAGAAACCAAGCGTCTGGCTATGATCCGCGAGGTATGTTTGATTTCACAATTCCTCATAAAACTTTTCAATTTTGAATTTGATTTTGGGAACCTTGTACTCTTGAGCAATTAGTCTATGAGATTTTGTCAATTTAATCTGGTTGGAGGGAATATTGTAGGACCCAAGTGTTGAAAACTTCAAGATCTAACAAGAAATGCATGGAACGAGACTTTATTTTTCATTTTATTTCGTGTGGTTTGCAACTATACTTTTACTATTTTCATTTTAATTCCACTGTTGTAAGAGAGCAAATTCCGTAAGATTGAAAACCCAGATGAGAAAAATCGATTTTTGTATCAGATTCATGAGTTACATACATGTTCATCGACAATAAGCTTAATCTAGGGTTTCTCAGTGAGTTGGACGTAATCCTGCCATATAAATTATCTGGGTGATGAAAAAAAACAACTTGCCCGGATTTCTAGCTTTAAGTATATATATATATATCCTATAGTAGTTAGTATAGGATCTTAGGGTTCCAATCCAAGGTCTTACCCTTTGGGGGGGGGGGTAAAGAAGCATTTTCTCGATAGTGGTACTTTGATGGTGACTTGAAACTAAGGGGTGAATGCTTCAGGAACTTGAAGCTTTGGCTGATCCCATGAGAAAGGAAGTTGCTTTGGTCCGGAAGAAGATTGATTCCGTGAACAAAGAGTTAAAGCCGTTGGGAAATACGGTTCAGAAGAAGGTAATTTCCGAAAAGGGACAAAACCCGAAATCATATGCAGTTCCTGATTGGGAAGCTAAGTTGGTGTTTTGCGAAAATGCAGGAAAGAGAGTACAAGGAGGCTCTTGAAGTGTTCAACGAAAAGAACAGGGAGAAGGTTCAGCTAATCACCAAACTAATGGAGGTTAGCTCACGAAATTTCCTTTATCTGCATTTGGGGACTAAAGAATGTCACTCGTGTTTGTATGAATGTATGTCTGTCCTCATGTTCAGCATGGTCGTGCCGCATTTCTCTTGCCGTGGTGAATTTCTTTGAACAATTTGGTTAGCTGTCTGTCTTCTCGGGCTTTTGCCCGATTTTTCCATTGTTTGCCCTTGACTCTGCTTTCTCGCCACCCGTTTGAGTCGTTTTGGCAAGCTTGTGGTCTTATGGGCTTCGGGTTTCAACTAGTTTGAGTTGCTTTTCTTCTAAAACCGGTTTCTCGTTTTCAAAGTGAGATGGATCGCTATATGATCACTGTGTCGGGACATTGTTTTCGTAGTTCTGGAATGGGTTTCTCTGAGCTAGATGCCTCATCTTCGATCCGGACAATTCTCTCTTGAGAATTACATATCCGAAACAATCCAAGATCCTTGATTGACCCAATTGGCTATCGTGTCTTTAACTTGCATCATACACAAAAAAAAAAAAAAAAAAATTCATTGTTTGCATTTCTTGAGCTCTGTATTTTCGGATCCGGCTCTTCTGCTACTCTTGGTTTAGGGACTATGAGAGACTAAACGTTTGATTTTCGAAATGGTTGGATTTTGGATGAACAGCTAGTGGGAGAAAGCGAGAGACACAGGTTGAAGAAGCTGGACGAGCTAAGCAAGAGCATAGAATCTATACACTGACTTGACAAAACCCTAAAACGTACGGCCAAGATCCTCCATGCTTAACTTTGAATAGGTTTTGTGGGTGATGTATTTAGAATGTGACCTTATTATATATATATATGGAGTCGAGTGTTATTTTTAATTTCAGGTTTGGTGTATTAAGTTGTTTACGCTATCTTTTGTTAGGTTTTTGTGGAGAATTATAATGTTTTAGGAATTAAGACAAAAAAAAAAAAGACAGGTTTGTAACTAAAACGCTACCTCTGCAACTCTGCATTCTCCTCTCCCGGCCTTTCCTTTTTTCCAGAAAAAAAAAAATCTCTATTTATAGTGTCATTCGTTTAATAATTTCCTAATATTTTTATTCTAAATTTTGTTTTTGTTATAGTTCATAATCATTTTGATTTTTTTTTTTTGGGAAACAAAGATTGGAGGGATGATGATATAGTAATGTGAATAATTGGCGGTGTTTGTATAGCTCACGAAATAATTTTGGAAAAATAAACCCGACCTTTCATTATATATTTTAGCGGTAATTAGTAGTATACGTTTTTTTATTCCGAAAATTTTACTTTCGAAACTTTGTGTCGATATAGCGCACCAAATATTTTGAGAACACATATACTCTTCCCACATATTGAAGAAACCTTGAAAATTAAAAATAGATAGGATAATTTTTCTGCTGTTATTAATTCTCCCCCTCCCTGTAATAATATGAATTAAAATTAAATTAGAATATATAAATTAATTTCGTTGTGATTATTAGGTGGGTGACGACGAATGATGTGGCTACTCCTCTGATAGCAGACGAATAGAAATTTTAAAAAAACCCATAATCATTGGTGCAAACCTTTTATTTCATTACGTGGCAGCTCCAATCATTATTCATGCGCCACTAAATTCCAAATACGGTCCACATGTAACACTACGTGTGCTATATAATTATATTAATATTAAACTCTAATTAAAAAAATGAAAGTAGGAAGTTATATATATATATATATATATATATATATATATATATTATAGGCATGGCTGAAATAGTGATAAATGTTAAGGCAAAGAGCCCTTTTGCTATGATGGGCTTTTTTCTCTTCTCTGTCATGTCCCGCTGGCGATATGGACCTCTCACATGTGGCTTCTGGGCAGTTCCGTAATTTCAAAAGGAATCTAGATTTTTCATTTTCTTTTTTTTTTTGCTTCATCAAATAAATAAACGCAACAATTACTCAATACACAAATGTATAATCGAGTGAATAGAAATAATCGGTTTTGACCAAGATTGTCGGCCCGTTATATGAGACCCAATTTAAATGATTTGGGCCGAAATTATATTGATAGATATAAATTGAGTAAATCGAAATATAAACTCGACCCATAAATACCAATACAACTCATGATATAGATCAGAAGAATTTCCCTCCGTTTCCTGTCCTTTACCTTAATTCCAAATATGATACGGAGGGTTTCCATGTCTCTCTTTTCACGCATATATACATGGAGATGTAAATGTTAATTTCAAAAATATCAAGGGCGACCCCCGTCTTTTAATTATTTAATCAGTGGATTTATAGAACCCACGCAACTATACATGTATATGGTTGTACACGTACACAGGTACGTATGTCTATATATATATGTAATGTATCCGTGCGCGTATCGGCGTCTGTATATGTATATTTTACGTTTTCTCACTCGTTTTGATGCTAATAATAAAAAAAAAAGAATCCCTGTAGACGGAGGGGGGAAGCGCCACGTCATCAGGCTGGACAGGCGCACTGTCCCTGACACGTGTGGGTATGTACTTAGACACACGTGTGAGTTGGATGTTAACAATTCACATGGAACTTGACGGTGCTTATAAACCAAAATGTTTTTTTTTTATGAAATTACAAACCAAAACGTCGTGTTATAATAATAATAATAATAATAATAACGGGGTTGGATGTTTGTTGAATTTTCAAGTTGGAGAAGGATGGTCTATGCTGAGTTATACGGATTAACGGGATTACAAAATATTTATATGTAAGTATATAACTAAAAAATGGCAACCAATCACCTCTTTTACATTTAAAAAAAAAAGAGAATGCTATTATTATTATTATTATTTTAGATAACTAATTGATAGGGTCACTCTCACGTTATATATATATATATATATATATGATTTATTGTAATGATTTGTGAGTATGGACAGACTAATAAATATATAAGCGCCGAAATCAAAAGCAACTAACGAAGAAATAATTAGTATGTTAAATTTGCACAAAATCTATCATATAAACAATCATAATCCCATCGAGTGGGGGCCACTTCGCTGTAAAGTTACTCAAGGCTTATCTACTGATTATATTATATCATTACTAACATACACGTATTCAATTGTGTTTTATGATCCACTTGCGGATACAATAATTATACTATCAACTTATTTTTTCCCATTTCTTTCCTTTTTTTTTAATCTTTTCGTCTGTGAACATTAATATTGTATTAAGATATTCGATATCATTAATGTTTTATTTTATAATTATTCGTACGGTATCCTTATAATTTTTCCAATGATATTATTAAACATAAACTAAGTAACTTTTTTGGTGGCAACTAACAGCTTAATTGATGCGTCATTGTTATTATCAATTTTGACTAAAATTAAATATTTATTTAGTTTTTTCTCTCTTATTCTTACACTCGACAATAAAATAGAGAAACCCTACCATGTGTAACTTCTAGTTACGTGTCTAAATCTTTCAAAAAAAACATGAATTATTTGTGCTTTTATGGACTGGATTCAATACGTACTGAACATAAACCAATTTTAAATTTGTGGGGTCGTTGATTATAATAATTAATGTATATATAGGTTATAATATTCAATGATTGTTGTTTTGGTGAGCAATTAAATTTCAATATGCTTCTTGTTTTGACCTGTCAAGACACACCCGGGACATTGTCAATTTCATACTAGTTTTTGTTTTTGTCTCTGTCTTTGATTGTTTTCTCCAAGTGCCTTAGTTTAATTAATGCTTTGGGTCCTCAATTATATTCGTTTAGACACATGATTATCGATCCATAGCCATGCTTAATTAATTTAAACCTATTTGTTTACAATCGAAGAGAAATTCATTACTAGATGTATATGTTTATTACCCTTTTTATATAAAAAGCATAAACAACATTCGAACTTACTTAATTTGTCTGAAAACTAGTTTGTATTTACCTTTTGGGTAAATTGATAAAAAAAAAAAGTTTATTAATTGATCAATTTAATTTTTTTTAAATAAATATTTTCATTTTGTAGCAAGTTGAGATTCAATATCAATAATTAAAAGGTATTAATAATAATATGTTATGATTTAAACAAATAATATTTTCATTTCACTATGTTCTATATTTATTGTCAAGGTGGAATTCCAAAATGAAATAACTGCGAATATGAAGCGTAATGAATTGAAAGAGGAGACAATGTTATCGATACGTTACTGTTGGAAAAATAAAAAATTGGGTTGGGCCCATATTATTATTATTATCATTATACCCTGAAATCCATCAGATTTACAAATTCAACCACATAAATTTGATTTATCAGAAAAGCCCCAACAACTTCCAATAGACTGTTGCAAAAAAAAAATATATATATATCAGAAATACCAATTATACCATTGGGCAAAATTTTATCCAATTTATTAGTTATACAAATTATAAGTAAATTGTGAATAGCATTGGATTTTTTTTAAATTAAAGTTCGGAAGTGGTGAGTGACCAATCAGATAAAAGCAAACGCCGTACGGTGTCATTTCACTGACCTCTCGTCCACAGGATCATTGTGGATCCCGTTTTTTTTTTTAAATCAATTTTTCTTATAACCCATTCGCAATTTTTATATAATCCCCTACGAAAATAAATGAGTACAAAAAATTGAGATATTTTATTTTATTTCTAATTATTTGCTATTACACACACTTAACGTTAGTTGTTGAGAACTTTATATTCATTAACATAGGCTGTAAATTAAACGATTTTTTATATTTACATTTTATATAACCAAACAAAAAAATAACCAATATACTCCTAATTTAAATTTCACGTTGCATGGCCAAGTATTTCAGGTTTTATATACAAACATTTTTTTTAAATTTTTATTTACTTTAATTTTTCTTTTATTTTGAAATAGTTAAAATATTAAAATTGAAAGGTGAGAAAAGGGGCGTCGAGTCAATAATACTGTTCTTACAACGATAGGGCATGCGTGTTTCTCCGTTTTGTCGTTTTGCGCTCAATTTCTCACGATATCCATTCCCGAATTATTCGGATATATTCGATTTTTTCGTGAGATTGTCAACGCTTTAGAGAATAATAATTCACGTAAAAGAGACAAATGTGAAATATCAGGGAATTTGGCCCAAAAAGAATTATATATATATATATAAATGTATTGATTAGTTCAATTAGTTTCAGTTTAATTAGATTTATATTTTATAGGTATCTATATATGTTACATTTTAATATATTTTCACCCATCAAAAACCAATCAGATTATCTTCTAAAATTACAAGATAACGAGTATAAAAATCAACATGAAATTTTATCGATACTTATATTCGTTAATGCATAGTGGAAGAATTACATATCATTTTTCACCTACACCCGTTCCAGTATATAAAACCTATAATATTTTATAAGAACACGAACAATAGACCATATTTATTTTTCTACCAAAGAAAATTATTAATCTTATTATTTTATGTTTTCTTTTAATGTGTATATTATATATGAATAATATTTTATACTCCAAGAGCTATTTACTTACCCCCTTGCCTCGATCTTGTAAACCACCAAGATTTTTGAATCACCACCATTTGCTCTCCCTCGGAAGCTGAACCCAAGAACTCTCCCTTGCCTGCAACTTTCGTTTTCCATCTCACGGAAACGATAACTGCTCGAAAGTTTAAACCTTTTCAACTTCATGTCTTCTTCTTCTTCTTTGTGAGGAAGAGCCAAATAGTTGTGTTCTATTCTCCTTTTGCTCTGTTTTCGCTTCTGCTGACTTCAATGGCGTCTCAGAAGCACTTAAAGGATCTTTTGCGAGAAGATCAAGAGCCTTTTCAGCTTCAAAGCTACATTTCCGACCGTCGATGTCAGATCAAGCGTCCTCTGTCTCCTCGAAGAAACTTGCAGGTCAGGAAACGCAAACCCATCTCGCAAAACGCTGGCTTTCCCTCGCGTTTCTACCGCAACGCGTGTTTCTTCTCCTTCCGTGAATCGCCCGACCCGAGAATGTCTCCTCTCTTCGAGTTTCAATCCCCGAGTCGGAGCCCAAACGCGATTTTCCAAAATATCCCGGCTAAAACATCCGCGTTTCTTCTAGAAGCTGCGGTTAGGATACAGAAACAGTCATCCTCTGAGGGTTCGAAGACGAGAACGCGGAACGCGGGAAATGCGTTTGCGTTATTTGGGTCAGTGTTGAGGAAACTGACGAATCGCAAGAAACGCGATACCGGCGGCGACAACGGTGGTAGAGTTTCCGTGAAGGATATCTTGAGATGGGAATCTCCGGTCCTTCGTAGAGTAATCACTGGAAACGCGAAACACAAAGGAGTTTCAGAAAACGCGGTTGCGATAAACGAGGGAGAGAAAAGCACGTCTGGAACGCGGAGGTCAAGCAGCAGTGGCGTTTGGTCAGAGGGCAATGAAGAGAGGTCTTGGGACTGCGGTTTCGAAACGTCGAGCAGTAGTATATCCGACGGTCAGGATGAGTTTACATTTGATATAATGGACGACGGAGATTTCACCGAAGATCATGAAAAACGTTTCTGCGAAAGCCCGTTCCGTTTCGTGCTCGTACAAGCAAGCCCTTCTCCCCGTGGCGGTTTCCGAACGCCAAATTTCGCGTCTCCGGCTGCGTCTCCCAGCCGCCGCGGCCGAAAGGTTTGGCTGTCTCTCAACCATTATGTACTTTTCTGTTGCTTATTCATTTTATCAGAAACTTTAATGAAAAATTGGAACGTAGTTATTATTATTGACAATTACTAAATTTAAATAGATAAAATCATTTTTTATAATTTTTAATTTTGTAAAAATTTAAAGCTTTAATATAACAATAATAATAATTTCTAAATCAAATACAAAGTATGATAACATCAAAGTTATTTTAAATTTTAAATAAATATTAGGTTTGCGCAATAACAAAGAAAACCACGGTGTATGATAATATATAAAAAAAACCACTATTATGATTTTTAAAACACATTAAAATGTTCATAATTGCTAATAGAAAGTCTAACTAACGACCAGCTTTGACTCGTTTGAATTGTCGGCACTCGCCGTCGTCGTTGCCAAGTAAAAAGACAAAAGTACCCTTATCATCATTCCAAAGGAAGGTAATTTCCCTCATTTAGTTTAATCTTTAACTTCAGCCTCAAAAGCAATTCTCTCTCTCCCTTTCTCATTTCTGTCGCCGAAATTTCTTTAGCAATCGATTATAAAAATTTTATATACTTCAACTTTAACCTAAACTCAGAGGCTATTTTGAATATACATACATATATATACACACATATATATATATATAATCAGTTCGAAAATATTATTTTGAAACATGAGCTTGTATGGAAAATGAAACAGAGTGAGGAGGGCTGTGAAAGGGAGAAACTGCAGATGGAAGAGGAGAAGGAGCAGGACAGTCCAGTATCGGTTCTGGACCCTCCATTTCAGGACGATGACGAGGACGTTCACATTCACGTCTCCCTCCAAAGTATATACATACGTACCCCCTCTCTCTCTCTCCATTTTAATATAATGTTTTTTTCGTATTTTTATTTTGTTTTTTCCGTGTGTCGTACGTCTTCTTAAATGATCCAACTGTTGATCGATCTGTTCAAGAAATTCAATTCATATATAGCCACGTTACATTTCATACGGTATATGTTTGTAACAACAGTTTACATAATCTTACAACTTGCAGTTTACTATTTGGTTTGCAAGTAATATTCCTTATTAGAATTAGCAATTCTACATAAAGGAAACTATATATTTTTTTTATTTATTTAAACTCATTAATTGTACAATTTGTTCTATAACAATATTATATATATCGATCTTTTGATGGGTTTTTTTTTTATTTTATAAATAGCAATATCGCATATGAATTTATACAATGGACTAATGTTTCGATTGTCTTCAGGAACCAAGCATCAGCTTCTTCAAAATCTTCGTAGATTCGAGAAATTAGCGAGTCTTGACCCGGTCCAACTCGAGAACCAAATGTTATCATCAGATCAAGAAACCGGTGAGGAGGCGACCGCTTACAACAATGTCGACGACAAAGAAGACGAGGCCACAAGATATTATCATCAACACTGTGAAGAGCTTACGCGAATAATTCTTGAGAATTACCTCGACGAACCCAAACAAATCCCCCAAGGAATTCCGTCGTTGATCTCAGATATAGTGGCGGACGAAGTTCAAGAAAACGGATTCTTGATCGACGTGGCGAAAAGGGTTTGCGAGAGATTGGAGTCTTGGAGAGGCGTGGAACCGAACACGATCGATATGATGGTCGAGCAAGATTTCACGGCACAGAGTTTTGTCGGGTTATGGGCAAAGAACGATCAAGAAGCGGCAGAGATTTCCATGGAGATCGAGTTTGAGATTTTCAGATGTCTGGTCGAAGAGTTGTCGGAAGAACTGATTCAGGGTTAGGGTTTTTCGCTTTTCCAGTATATAACTTGCGTCGCAAGTAATGATGACTGCTACTAACCAGCGAATTCGAAGGATTAATTAGTGGTGTATGTAAAATTTTTGTTTAATGAGTTATAATTATAATATGTTTTTCTTATGACTTAGACACCCATTATAGTTATGTTTTGTGTATAGTTGTTTATAGAAAGATCAATAAAACAGAGATTATGAAATATATCTACAAATATTACTCCCTTATGAATAATTGTCATTTTAGATTTTTTCACACTTTTTAAAGAGTTATAAAAAAAAGTCATATATATCCTCATTAAATGATCTTCTCATTGATACTCTATTGAAATTAGGTGATTAAAATCAAGGGTAAATTTGGAATTTGTTTAAAAAAATCACCTCAAAAATCTAAAACGACATCTATTGAATATCAGAAAATAAGCATATTTAGAAATGGATTTTTTCCATTTTTCTATTTCACGGTCTATTATTTCCTTTTCCCTTGATGTTTTTAATTAGTATTACTTAGTCATTTCGAAACAATTTTTCTTCATGGACCTATATTTCATTTTGCCGATATTTATTGGGCCAAGTTTTTGTTCGGCCTCAAATTTGTTTTCCTCTCGGCCCATTAACGGAGACGGACGACCCAATTGAAATAAAATCAGGCCCAACCGAACCAAATTGAAATCCATATAATTTGCTTTTTATCCAAAAAAAAATATTATTATAGCTAATTCTTACTTTATTGATGATTACATATAATTACCTCGAATAATGAAGACTCTTTCCGTCGATTGGGCTATAACAGATAAAAAAAACACTTGCAAATTTTATGGTTACAAATACACATATAAGATATGTATACATAATATATAGTATTTAATTATTTAATGTAACTAAAATTATTGTCTGCTTCTCATTATGCGTCTACTAAAATAATGGGGACGTAGGGATTGGTATTATTTGATCTCCGTGAATGGAGTCATTGTCTATCATTCCATAATGAACCCATTCATGATATTTAATATATCCCTAATCGACCAGCCTTTTTTTATTTATTTATTCTTGATTGCAATTAGTTGAATTTAATATTTAGAAGAATATATTAATGTAAAGCATATATTAAAAAGTATCTGGTTTTAGATGAAATCTAATAAGTGGTGGAATCTGTAGCAGTTCTCGAATCATATCGTTATTCAAACTATACCTTTTATTGATCATGGATTTAAAAAAAAAATATGTAATCATTATATTAAAATAATAAAAAATATATTATTTCTAATTTTATATGTTCACTTCGATTATAAAATTTTGAGCTGATTGATAATAAATCCATAAAAGTGAATTAATATTATTTTTATTCTCGATCTTTTTCATCTCAGAAATAGAAAACCGTTACGAAGGCAAATTATAACGAAAAAGGTTAGAATTTTCATCTTATGTTTTTCATAAACTTGAAGTATTTTAAGCGCAATAGTCGTCCAACCTTTACAGCAGTGAGTTCGTTGGTCACCATTTTCTAATTTACTACACACAACAATATTCCTTCTGCTATATATATATATATATATATATATATATGTATATGTATGTGTGTGTGTAAGTGTATATAATATTATTATATATAAGCTAAGTATACCAACCGACCGATTCAATGTCGTGGAGTTGCAATGATTATTATGGTATTATATGTCAAATCAGGAATTTATTGGACCATATATATATATACACACCCCCTTAAATTTGTACGTGCAAACATCTTAGATTCTGATATTTGATATTTTGTCATCACGCATTAGATACAAATTTATGGGACAAAACCATAGAATTAAAGCATCTAATCTGCAGAATATATATATATATATATATATATATATCTTATAATTAAATAGCTTTTATTAAGACATGTAAGCCATTTCAACATGTTAATCGAATCTAACGGCATGCATTCTTTGAGATTTACAAAAAAAAAACAATATGTATCTAACAAGATCTTAAAAAAAACATGAAATCTCTTTCGATATTATTATGGTATAGTAACAAATATTTTAGATTGGTGAGCCGTTACTTCAAATCTCTAACGGTATCTAGGGAAATCATATCTTATTTACCTTTTTTGTAATTTTATTTCATGACAAATCCCTAGAAGATCTAAAAGGGAAAATTAGTCCAAACAGACATTGAAAAAGAGGGCATTTTCGTTTAAATTATATATATATATAAATTGTAAACTGAAAAAGAGGGCATTTTCGTAACAATTGTCCTAATTGTTACGAAATAATTTGTGAGTCACGATATGATTTTTGTTGTTATTTCTTTGAAATTATTCTAACACTATTCACTCTGTCTAATAATCATTTAATTTTTTTATGCCAAAAAACTATATAATATACTTTATGAATTACCAAATTCATGCATCCGTCGTATCAAACCGTCCATCATCATGGGCCTTTGTACGAAAACCCTAAAACCATTAAAATAAACAATTAAAAAGCCCTAAAAAATCGAAAGCCAGCTGGTTGGTGAGCCCCACCTTCCAATACCATCCATCATGTACCCCTCTCATCAAGCATCGATTAGAATAAAATTTAAATTTTCAAAATAAATAAAAAAAGAATCGAGAAATTATAAATAATAATAAAATGAAATTAAGGCCAAGTCATAATCATCTTATGATTTGCCACATCAGCAGTGAAGGAACGAAGCTCGGTCCACTCGATCGGTGCAGCAGCAGCACCTGATCGGCGTGATTTATGGGCCACTCTCTTTGGTTCATCTGTCATTCAAGATTTCATAAATCCTTCTAATTCTTGTATGAGAGCATAGCATTACAAGTTTTTTGTTAGTTTATAAATGGTTCGTCGATAGTCTAGGGTTCCTGAAAATTAAAAGAAATAACGACTTCCTCTTTCTTCATATGATATTTCTTCTAATTTATGATAATACGAATTTGCTAATCTTAGATTTTGTGGAATCTAAGTTTTTTATTAAAAAAATTTAGACTCAATATTTTTCATTTAAAAACAAAAGTTTCTTGAGATCATTTATAAGGTATTTAGTTTTTCTTCCTTTTTTTTAGAGAAAGACTAAATCTTAAAAATTGTGAAAAAAATAAAATTAAATAGTAGTAAAATAATAAATAAAATGATGAAATATATATATAGTTGTAAATAAAAATAAATAAGATAAATATTGTTTAAAACTAATTAAAGGAATAAACCCTTATTTCTAGTTCGTTTATTTTTAAATGGTACGTATTCCATTGTTACTGTCAATGCTGTTATAATTTTCTACACAATTTTATCGTACAAAAAAAAAATCTGTACTAATATTCAAAAGCTAGTGAAAGCAACAATAGCAAGAAGAATGAGAAATATAAATTGCATGGGTGGAACGTCCTCTTCCAACTACGTGAAAATCAAGCCATCAGCTCTGGCCACTCTGAGACCTCAGACACACTCTTAAATACTTTCCTCTTCTTCTTTTCTTTACATTTTCTTTATCTGTATATATACACACTCGCAGATATATATATATATATATGTATATGTATATATGCATATAATATAGTTTTTTTTTGGTATTTGTTTGTCGGGCTTCAGACTGAGTTTCTTCTGTTCATCATGTTGCCCTAATTAAGCCCTTTTTACGTCCTTCTCTATTTTCCATCCTTACACTACTATTGTTGATTGTTTACTTCAACGGAGTAAAATTAGATGATTAATTAATTTGCATAGCGAATCATTTAAAGAAAACTAATGGAGTAATGGTTAGTGGACGGTGCACATTAATTTCATTTTCACACTGCAACCATGTTAGGTATTCGACTGTTACCATAATTTGCTTTATTCTAATTGTCCTTTATGATAAATAATGACTATCTTTTTATTTAATATATTTCTTATACTATAAAATACAAAGAGTTATCATTATATGTTCTGTCGGCATATCTCATGTCACTTAAATAATTAGCCCTCTTTCGAGATATGAGATATTCATGGTGCTCGGTGCCGTGGTCCACGGCTCGTCAAAACTTATGAGAATGTCTTCGATTTTAAAATTTACATCATACGATTCCCTATATATATATATATATATATATATTTATATATATGTGCACATAACTGTATGCAACAATGATAATGACAAAGAAAAAAGCCTATAGATATCTATAGTGCATTTGTGGAAATATATTAAAAGCAGCGGCAACTTTCCATTTTTCAACAACAAAACAAAGTTTGCTTTTACAGAATAATAATGATATCTTATAATATGGTAGTGATTATTATAGTTTTGTTGCCTGAATCTATTGTATATCATCGATGGAGGTGCTTTTTACTTTGTTTCTTTAATGTTATTTATCAGTTTTGGTAATGATTTGATGAAGAATTATATATCGCTCTGGTCTTTAACTCAACTCCCGTCGAATCCTATAATAGTACGTAATGCGATATCAGATTACATATACGCCTTCCCATCGGTCTAATTTAGATCGGAATAAAAGGGTGTTTGGATGATGAGAAAGTGAGGGAAAAAGAGGGAAAGTTCGGATGGATGAAACTGAAGAGGTGAGAAAATTTTCAGGTTTCCTAGTAGAATTTGAAATATCATAGGACGTACGTAGCAAGATATATATATATATATATATATATTCACTTTCCCGCAAAAGAATGCTACGTGCCTCTAGGCCTTTACGAAACTCTAGGACACCTCCCTCTTGCCCATCGATATATATATATAGCATATGTGTGTATATGGGCATGCATGTGTATGCGACTAGGAGGATAGTAATATAGTCTGCGTATCACATATATATATGTATGCGTGTGCGTGTGAATATTTAAGATATGAAATAGCTAGTTTAAAAAAAATAGCTGATCCAAGGCTATGGTGATATATACAAACCCTAACTAGTAGTCTTAAAATAAATATCACTAAGAAAGAAATTTAAAAGCAAATTAAGGAACAAAAGGTAGGAACGACAAAAGAAACAGGGAAAAGAAACGACAGCGTTTGGTTTGGTCTGATGAGCAACTGTTGAACGAGAGAGAGAGAGAGAGAGAGAGAGAGAGAGAGAGAGAGAGAGAGAGGGCAAAAGGTCAATTCATAGGGGCCTTCCACTGGTGGCTAT